AGAACTACCGCGTCACTAGGAAGGAACAATTGGCGGTGGTGTACTTTATCAAACACTTTCGGCCATATCTTTACGGACAGAAGTTTCTCCTGAGAACTGATCATGGGTCGCTCCGTTGGCTTTTTAATTTAAAGGAGCCAGAAGGACAAATTGCCAGGTGGCTTCAAGTACTTGCAGAGTACGAATTTGACATCGAGCATCGACCAGGCCCGAAACATGGTAATGCCGACGCGATGTCCAGAATGCGGCACAATGTCCAGTGTCACGTAGACCAGCAAAAAGTCAAGGAGGGCTCAAAGTCAAGGAAGTCAGAGAAGATAGAAGAAGGAGAAGGAAACCGAAACACAACCACAACAAAGCCGGGAAATGTTGAGTAAGGAATCTCCCAAGGCAGAGGGGCATCCGGACAAGACACAACAGGGTGAACCTGGTAGCGCACCACCAGATGACAGCCGCCACGACCACATTATACGAGAAATATCTTCACATTGCTGGGTACATGGGTGCACCCCTGAGGAAATGAGGGAAAAACAAATGGAAGATCCTACCCTGCGCAAAGTAATAGGCTGGCTAGAAAATGGAACCCTTAAACCGTCATGGGCAGACGTGTCGGCTGAAAGAACGTGGCTCAAAACGCTGTGGTGTTCGTGGCAACAGCTGAAACTTCATGACGGTGTACTATACAGGCGATGGGAGGAGGACACACCACATTCACGCTGGCTTCTGGTGGTACCATGGGCCTTCAGGGAAGATGTGATGAAACAACTCCACGACTGCCCAACGGCTTGACACTTGGGAATTAACAAGATGTATGCGAAAGTAAAGTCAAGGTTCTACTGGGAAAACATGAAGGAATCGGTCACGAGATGGTGTCAGCAATGTCTGAAGTGCGCTCGACGCAAGCCGCCTCCCAAGAAAACCAGGGCGCCACTGCAACAACAAATCTCCGGGGTGCCCATGGAACGGGTCGCGCTGGACATCACAGGACCATTCCCAATTACAGAACATAGAGAGAACAAATTGATTCTTGTTATTTCGGACTACTTTTCAAAATGGACAGAAGCTTTCCCCTTGCAGAACGTGACAGCCGAGACAGTTGCTGGAGTCTTCGACAGAGAATTTGTTTGCCGATTCGGCGTTCCCAGACAGGTACACAGTGACCAGGGCCGGCAATTTGAAAGCAAGTTGTTCCAAGAAATGTGCGCAATCCTCGGCATAGACAAAACAAGGACGAGTCCCTACCACACCCAGACAACGGTCAAGTAGAGCGGTTTAACCGCACTCTAAAAGACATGCTCCGTGCCTACGTAGCCGAGAATCAAAGGGATTGGGACCGCCACATACCCCTGGTAATGATGGCTTATCGTGCTTCGCAACACGGCAGCACTGGCGAAACTCCAAATCTCCTCACACTAGGCAGAGAAGTTGAACTGCCTATTGACCTCATTTTGGGATCTCCAGAACAGCCCCAGGAGGTTACGCCCTATGTAGTAGAGTTGAGGGAAAGGTTCCGTGATGCCCACGAGAGGGCAAGGGTGCATCTGCACAAAGCTGCCAAGCATCAAAAACGAAATTATGACCTACCACACCAACATAAGCAGCTTACTCCTGGAACCACCGTGATGCTGGCTGTAGAGGCCAGAACTGTTGGACTGTCCCCTAAACTCCAATCGAGATGGGACGGGCCCTACACTGTGACTGAATGCATCAACAATGTAAATGTACGTATCCAGAAGGGACCACGGCACAAACCAAAGATTGTACACATAGACCGACTGAAGAGATTTGGAGGAGAGTATGACAAGTCGTGGTGGGAAGGCAGGCTTACTTGTGGAAACAGCGGCCCCAAAGAAGTTCAGGGCCCAGTCAACGCGTCTGCTACTGAAGAGCATCTGCAGCCAGGGAGCTCAGATGGATCCGGTACAGGGACACCAAAACAGACAAGCTGTACAGGAAAGAGCGGCAGCAAAGAGAGCCCAGTCAACGCGTCTGCTACTGAAGAGCATCTGCAGCCAGGGAGCTCAGATAGATCCGGGACAGGGACACCAAGACAGCCAAGCTGTACAGGGAAGAGCGGCAGCAAAGACGCCACCATGGACGAGGCTAAAAAGTCGCAGGCCAAGAAATTAGTGGGGACCAAGTAGGAGCAGCGCGAAGTCGAACAGCCTGATAACTGCCCAATTGCCACTTCGCAGCCGGAATGCCCGAGCCGCAGGAAGCGGTGGCCACCAAAACGTTACGGGGAGTGGGTCAACCAAAACCATAAACGAGTCCATCAACCATAATAAATTACTAATTTTCCCATTCTTGTTGGTCTTATCATCCTGCAGATGCCAAAAAGACACCACTCGCGCCAAAGGTCCCCCAGAGACAGGTCATCGAGGAGGTCCCCAAGTCCAACATCAGACCTCCAGTGCACAGATTGCCGTCAGACATTCAGAGCATATTCAGCCCTCAACTGTCACGTATCGGAGCAACATGGCATAAAAACCAGATACGAGTTGTCCGTTCTGCGATGGGAGCAGCTATTCCCGACGGAGTGACTTAGGAAGACACTTGAAGAAGCACCATGCGCCACAAATGCAGGAAGAAACGACCCACAACAAACAGCGAGACCTCCGAACCCCTGAACGAGCTGGTGTGACCAACGAAGTGCCAAAAACCCCAGAGATCCAGAAAACGCCTCCGACGTTGGACCTGCATCCGACAGCCGACGAGATGCACTTCGGAGTTGCATCACCAAAGAAGTCAAGCCACGTGACACGGGTATCACCCTTACGCCAGGTCACCACGGAGACCGTCTTGGAAGAGCCGGCGTATTCCCGGGAAGTCCGTTGGCGCAAGATTGTGGAAATCTTCAACGAAGGCAGCCTTGTCATTAAGACCACTACTGAATATGTTCTGAGAAGACGTTAGCTTTTCTACACGTTGTTTGTTTCTTTTAACTAAATGTGGGACGCATTCATTTTGAAATAGATGTGATGTAGCGATTATCACATGTGGCGCTGTCCGTCCGGCCGGAGAGTAGGGCCGGGCGCGCATGCGCAGATTAGCAGCGCAGAATAATGTAGTAAGTTTGGTAACGCGCGCGCGCGAAATAGGTTGTTGATGTTGTGCTGGCTTGGAGAGGAACGGTTGTGCGCTGCGGGACTTCCAAAAAGGACCGAGCCCGAATCTACCTTGACGGACAGCTATCCTGCTTGAATTAAGGTGAATCAGTGTTCAAATAATCAGCAATTATTGTTATAATGTGATTGACCTATTAATGATTTGTTGAGTATTAAAAGTTAAAAACTGAGGCACTGTCTCCGGGTCACATTTCTTTCGTCCACGTCAACGTGTTGTTTAGTCCGTCATTGTGTAACAGTACTCTGTCGGCAAATTCCTAGGAATATCACATTCGTCATTTAGAACCCATTGGTCAAACGCTACACATGTATATATAATGATCAATTAAACAGGTAACATAAAATGGGGAGTGATGGGGGTTTTAACAATGTTTGGGCCTGCTGAGTAAGGCAGGATAACTTTTGCTTTTGAACTGGACCGCTGGGGTAGAAAGATTAACAATAAGAGATTCATCAGTCATAATAAACATCCAATCCATATAAGAAAACAACTGCACCTCTTGAATTTGACGGCCTCCCATAGTTTTGTGAAATTGGGTCACCACGGCAGTGTAATCAGCTGAGCCTGCAGTCAATGGTGCCATTTTGAAGTCCTCTTTCATGTTGAAACTAAAACATAAAGTACATTAAGAAACTCGAAGAACAAGAACAATAAAATGATCACTTTTAGTTCTTAATCAATATTTTTCGGTTTGTATCAATTGTGTCTTCATGATTCATCGACAAATCAATCAATCAAATCAGATTATTTCAGTATCACCACAACGTTACTACTCTTAGTTTCACATGTTTACTTAATATTGCAATATTTAAATATTATTGACAGATTTAGTGGCATTCAATCCTTGGTTTAACCGAATAATTTAAGTTATATCAATCCATGTGTATTCGAGACAAAGAGAAAGGTAAACTTACACAATACCTTTTTTATCTCAAAAAGATGCTACTGCGAAAGCTGAAACGTCAATTGGTTTGAACATACACAAAGTCTTATTTCTGTTCTGCAAACTCTTATCTAAACCTACTACAAAACTCTTTCAGGTAGCTAGACATAATGTGATTATTCTACAGAGAAATCAACAATCAACAAATTACAGCTGAAAGTCAACTAAGGTTACACCCACAAAACATAATTTAAACAGCTCGATAGTTGCTTCGTCCTTACGCAAATTGAACATTCCAAATATTAATGGTATGTGACACTGAACTACATGTAAAAATGTAGTAATCATGAAAGAAATAGTCATGAATTCTTAGTTATATGAATACCAACTAAGAACACAAACAAAACATCAGGTATAACACTTTTGCCATTCAATATACGCCATGCATGCTTCTTTGTTTTTGAAAATCACATAATGTACAAAGGCTGCGTCTAGGGCTTTTTTGATTTTGATTTTTTTTAAATTCAAAATGAGCGATCTGAAATCAAAGGGAGACAAGATGAAACACCAAAGCTATTTTAATGCATGGGGTAAAAATCCATAAAGGCTGCTTTTAGATTGTTGCTTTTAGCATTCTGAAATGCGTGAATATTCAAATCACGAATGTGATTAAAACCAATATCCACAAGCTATATGCCAGCAAAAAGGTTTTCAAATCTCTTAAGCTATTCTTTTCTCTCTTGAAGTTTATTTTCAAACGCAGTTGCATTTTAGTAAATGTTTTTGTTATCATTCATTCATCGTCATTTCCAACAGCAATGACTACATTTTGAACGTTTAATTTTCTGGTTAAACTTTAAACAAGTACATATGTTTTTATGTTTTTAAAATGATCAATTATTGTAGTCCTCAATTAACATGGCAAATAGCATGGCGTTTGTGATAATATCACTGACACTGTGATGCTGATGGGTTGTACCAAAGGGGCTGCAAATCGTTCAATCGTATTAGTTGCAGAACAAATACAACTACCATCTGAAGTGTTTGACTTGCTTACTGGAATTTGATGAGGTATTCTGGGTAGGCTTGTGCATCATGAAAGATAACATAGATGCCTGGCTGGTTTACATTGTCCACCGCGCAGTCGTACTGCTGGTCGGGATGACTTGGTTTGTTGGGAGGAGTTATCATTCCGTGATTGCCTCTGATGTAATCACCGACCAGAACCTTTGTCAGGTACATGTGCTGTACACCGTTTGCATTAGGCTTTGCGTATTGCGGTCGTGCTGAGTAGTTAGCATTCACCGCAAAGTAGGTTCCATTTCCGTAGGCAGTTGCTGAAGATATAAACATGTGCGTTAAATGGATTAATTCCATCAATTTAGTAATTGTAAAAACAAGTATTTTTATGGAAAATCTATTTTCTCCATGTTTCATGCAAACATAACATTCTCAAGACTAACACTGGGGCATTGCATTTTCAAGTTCTGATCAAGTTCAAGCACTGACCAAGTTCAACATGCCCAAGCCCAAAATGGCCACCAATCGGGATTTGTGCGCACCTGCGCTTGTCGCAAATTAATAAAAAGGCTTGTTGAGTTAGCGGAAGGGATGATAGCGGAAGAGATGATATTTGACTGATTTTAAGAATAAATGTGAGCTGATGTTACTCATGGAAGCTCTCTCATTATGTTCAAAAGTTGGATTCAACAAAAGTGTGGCATTTCGCAATATAAACAATAAAACCTCATCATCTCCTCGAGGCCGCTCATATTTGTCGAATATATTTCAGTAAAAAAAAAAAGCTTTTCAGATATTTCATTGATCGAGAATTTGGAGAATAGGCATATTCGGTACAGCTCTTAAATTGTTAATTGCACAAAACAATACTTGCCTTCAGTGCCCCCCCCCCTTGAACAATTGGTGCACCCCAGGGAATGGAACTGTGTTATTTCATGAGTTAATGACACATAAGGCTGAATTCTTGATCCTATATAATGACCAAGTTTAAATAGGGACAATGTTCGGCCAAAATAAATTCTTTACAGCTGAGCGATACAAAAATAAACACATTTACAAATTATGTCGAACAATTTGTGCAAATTGAGGGTTCTTACCATTCTTTCCACAGAAGCTGCGATTGAAACCAAACTTGTTGATCTTATCACACGTTTGCTCATCGGTACCATGGAACAATGTCTCTTCAATGTTAGTACGACCAAGACGAGCCTCCATCGCTTCCTTACGTGATTGGTACTGCACCAACAAGTCTCTGTTCTGAATTCTGTGTATCTATTTGGATTAGGGAGTCAAAACAATAATTTGTTTTTATGATATACCAATAATAACCAGTGAAAGCTGTACAATTTTGGTATTTAAAAGACATGATGGTATAGGGGTTTATGCAATTCAACGGCAAAATTAGCCTTATTGCATTCTCACTTTCTAATATAGTGATCAATTGAAAAGGTAACGTAAAATAATGTGTGATGGGAGTTTTAACCATGCTGAGTATTAGGCAGGATAACCTCTTTATTTGAACTTGACTGCTGGGGTAGACAGATTATTATTATTATTAACAATAAAAGATTCATCAGTTATAATACACATCAAATCTATATAAGAAAACAACTGCACCTCTTGAATTTGATGGCCTCCCATACTTTTTTGTAATTGTGTCTCCACTTCAATGTAATCAGCCGAGCCTGCAGTCAATTGTGCCATTTTGAAGTGCTCTTTCTTATCCATAGGAATCCAGTTGGGTGGCAATTCAAATGAAGCAGCTGAGGATAAACAAGAAATAAAAATGCACTCTGGCTCAGCAATCAGCAAATCTGACTAGCTGATTAACAGTAAATTAAAGAGTAAGTAAAGTTTGTTTTCAATTACCCGTCGTGTGCCTGGCAGAAGGGCACATGCGCATACGCCCTTATGTGTGAATGCCTTATCACCATAATGTTCCCAGCAAAAAGTTGTTCCAAGAACTATGATTCATACATGTGTCGAATTTAAAATTTGTATGATTTATAATTCGCGTGGAAAAAATTGCATTCACAATACGCATGGGGAACATTGAAGCCTTTCAATGCAATTTTGTTGCAAAGTGATTTTTGCGTCAGAACGCTCATATGCCCTTCTGTCGGGCACCAAAAAGCTTTGTATTTGTTACACATGATTTACCTCGATGAATACAGCTTGGGTTGAAAACTTTTTGATCTTGATAGTTTTAAGGAACTTATTCACACGATGTATATTACAAATACAAATAACTGTTTTTCTCAACACAAGGAAAATATTAGAATTGAGGATTCTCACAAAAGTCTTGATGCCCACCTTTCTTTAGGTCAACACGGTGGACATACATATTTCCAGCCAATGAAGTCTCCTGCATGGTTTGGAAGTTGATTGTCACTTGTCCATCTTCAAGATTCAGACTAACTGAGGGGCGCTTCTTGTTGTAGGCATCCTCTATGATAACATTCACCTCAGGATCATATGCTTCCAGTCCACGTGGCGTGCCGTACTTCCATTGCACCTATGAGATTCACCAACCAACAATTTAATATATCTTTCACATACAGTTCTCTTTTAGTTTTCGTTATTGGCTGCTTCGGCAATTGTATTCATTTAGATTTTGGGTGTTTCTTTAACTTGCAGAAACAGCCCTTGTTTTCGATCCTTTTTTTCTCTTTTCTTTTTCAGACTCCTGTCCATAGCATTTGTCCACTTACGTCAATCCCACTGACTTTATACTAGGCACACATATAGACCAGTCTGCAGACTGTGCCAAACAATGACACCATCATCAGGATTGGCTGATTTAAATCACGTTGATTTAAATCACTGATTTAAATTGCGATACAAAATCAAATTATTTATTTTTTAAAAATCACTGATTTAAATCACTTTTTTTGTAAAAATCTTATTTTTGGAAAAATAAATTGCTCGAGGGTTATTTTAATTATTTAAATCAACTGATTCCACTTAATGGACCTATCGCCGTTTGCGAGTTAGCCACACCCTCTAGACAACCATATGCACTTTTTGTACGTTAAGTTTTGTTTGTCTCAGGATGTGGGTTCCGCGTCCATTTGTATATCATGTAATTGGAATTTTTTTAACAAGCTGCTTTGACGCAATATAATTGTTTTGATTAAAGTCAAGATCTGAGTAGAAAAGTTGTTTTTTGTGCATACTACAGGTACAACTCAGTAGTATTTTTTATTTTGTAGCTTAATAGGTGAGTTTAGGTTTAAGGGTGCATTTTTTGAAGCCGAGGGTGTACATGTGGACCCTATCTCAGCAGAAAACAATTGTTTTGTTATACCACTGTTATAGATTACAGCTATCCAATTCTGTCACTGGTAACGTCTGAAACTGTGGGTCTCTTCCCGTTGCGGTACAGAATTGGCAAACTATTTGTACAGAATTGTTCGCATTTTTCTTCATGCTGATGCTGTCCTGTTCAAAAATCAAATTTCTGATTTTGTCTTTCGAACAAGAGAGAACCTCTTCTTTGGAGGCGACCTGCTGTCATCTGCCGACATTATGAATGACGGCCACAAAAATTGGCACAGTTAAAAAAGGAAGACGAACAGTGATGAATAATGTACACAACATTGGCTGTCTTAGCAAAAATAATGCTTCAGTGTCCCCCATGGCACATCTTACAGGAACATACATCAATTTACGTAGTACCAGCGTAGCTACAACCTCGTTCCCGAGGTCACACTAATATAATACAACGTGGTGAAAACGACACTTTCAACAGCAGGAAAGATCAAGGTAATGTACCCCCGTGGGGTACATCACTCATGTACCACGAAATACATCGCTCATGCGTTTTTGTGGCATGTCACGTGATCCACTCTCGACCAATAAAAATAACAATCTATTACCGTGGTATACATGTAATATGTTCAGAACATCTGATCACTCTGCAACTTCCTACTGCAAATGTATTACTCCTAATAACACAACATTAATATGCAATAACAAAATGCTGAAACAGTTGTGTGTTTGTCCTCAAACGTAAATTTAGTTGGAGTTTTTTTTTTAACAATTTCGTCATTGCATTTGTACACATGTTCATTGTGCATGCCAATTTGGGCACTTAATATGCACATCACTCTGATTGCCTTATACTTGGTACACACATAGACCAGCACCTACAGATGTGCCCAACTTTGACGTCATCATGATGCCATCATTTGTCACGTGACATCAGAAGGTGCACATTTTCAAGGCCTATATCTAGAGAAGCTCACGTCCTTTTGGGTTGAAACTTGGTGTGAACCTACAGATGAATTTTTATGTGACCTCATGATGACGTCATCACACGTCATGTGAGATCACATTAAAGGTGGATTTTTCTATGGCCCGTATCTAAAGAACTATACTTCTGACATCACTTGAACATCTTCATCCCTTAAAAATTCTTTAAAGAGCCATTTTCCCTTGAAATTACAGTTAACTAAATTTTCACGGATTTTTCAACATATTAAGCCAGATTAGGAGTAAGTAAAAACACCCTTAAGATAGACCCAGTGTACCGTTATGTATGACCAATGATAATCCTCAGTGGCCAGGGTCATTAAACAAATGTGAAAATACCCTTACGGGATTAGTCCTATATAAGCCAGATGTAAATGTCCGTGAAACATCTCTTAAAGATTCTTTTCACGGAGAAATGGACTTTTAACGAAAGTTTAAGGGATCAGATGTTCATAGTAATTATTTGATACGTTTTTGTACCAAGACTTGTTTGTGTTATCGATGAAAACTGAATGGATGTCACGAATCATGATGACATCTTTACACCTCATGTGATGTAGCATTTAACCAGTTCACATCTGACGACGCAAAGGTTTTGCAGTATTCTGAACGGATGACGGATAAACACACAGCGAGTGAGGCTGGAAATATCTATCTGCGACCCGTTTGCAGTGAGCTTAATCAAAGGCCGATACCCCCAGAACTACAGGGTGAGTAAAACAAAAAGAAACCGAAATGCCGGGACTATTGTTTAGTGAAGTTCTGCATGTAGCAGTTTCAAAATCTAGGATATGAAAGCCGAATATGTAAACTTTGTTGTAGTACAAGAATCATTCAAATCGCTAATGTACTTTTCAAGTTACGGAATTTTAAATACAACCACCGCTTTAAGGTTCTGTCCACAGATCACAAAAAAGTTCAGTGTTCTTTCAGCAAAACGAAAACAAATCACATAGGGGTGTGTGTGAATTGTTTTCGTTTTGCTGAAAGAACGCACATTTTTTTTGTGATCCGTGGACAGAACTTTAAAACCGCGGTTGTGTTTAAAATTCCGTAACTTGAAAAGTTCTTGCATGATTTGAATGATTCTTATACTAAAAGAAAGCTTAGGCCCCCCAAAAATATACTTCTGCTTCCGGTTACCCGACCGACCCTATTTTTAGGCCGCAACCCTAAACATTTTATCAGCAAGTCCAAAAAAATAATAAATTAATAATTGAAATTTTGAATAAATAATAAAAAAAAAATTTGTTGTCTTTTCTGTCTACACAAAATACCTCTCAACAACCCTTCCGCGTCAAAAATGCTTGTATTTATTTGTTTTCTAACTTACATTCACTATTTTTTTCCAAAGGAACCTCTTTTGCTTTTACAAATTTGCTTCGCGATAACTACTTTGCAATTCGATGTCGCGGTGACACGTACGTAATGCTACATTGTAGCTCAATGCGGCGACGACTGGTTCCCGCCGCGCCACTCAGGGGCCAATTTAGAAGACATGATGAAAATGCGGTAACCAGTCTGTGCATAACTATGCGCTAGCACATGCGCTAGCATGGCTATGCATGGCAGGCCCACGCAGTGCACTGTCAACTGGTCAGTCAGATTCCACATCGTAAAAATGCCAACAAAACACCGATGGAGAAAGAACATTTTTGAAAGTTAATAAACAGAACTTGATCTCTCTTGTCTGTGTATGTATTTTCCATGTTAAAGAGTTCATTTTGAGATGGCACTACTCGTATTTTGAGTGATACGACGCAGCTAATTTCCCAAAAATTATCCACCGTAAAAACAAGGTCTGTCGCCCGTGGTCACACGTGCATTCATGCATGCATTACAAATTTTTGGCCAGTTTCCCATCTTGACTAGCGTTCTGAATATGGTACGCACGACCTGAATTTTCCATTATTTTTTAAGAATTATTTGAACGTAAAAATATTGACAATAATTAAGGTAGGTTTATTCAATTTTTGTGGCAATTTTTTGTATAGCTTTCATAGTGCAATGGAAATAGTTCAGGCTAAAACTTCGTATATAATTGAATACCCCATTCAATCAGCATAAAAAATTGGCCCCCCCCCAAAAAAAATCTGACTGATAAACCCTATTTTTCAAAGGCATGTAATCAGAAGCAGAACTATTTTTTGGGGGGGCCTAACGAATTGGGTTTTCATATCCTAGATTTTCAAAGTGCTACATGAAGAACTTCATTAAAACAATAGTCCCGACATTTGCTGTCCTTTTTTAATCTTTACTCACCCTGTAAAGGTCAAATTGGGTTGAAAATTGGGATGTGTTACAGATGAAAATTGAAGTGAGTCTTGATGACGTCATCAAATGACATGTGGCGTTATATAACATGTATAACATGTATAATGTATAACATGATATAAACATGCATCAAATATGCCAAAACAGACCTGTATATGTCGCCTACAATCACAAGTCTAGTTTTTTTTCAGTAATATGCAAACACAAAATGTGCTGTAGAAAAATGATTACAATGGGAAGCATGAAAAATTTACCAAAACTTGGATGATGTCACATATTTCTTACAAAACTGTATATGTCTCGTTAAGGTGGTTTTTTTTTTTAAACTAATGTGGACATGACAGTTTCTATCTACAAGACTGTCTTATTGAAGGTTGTGAACTTACTTCCTTGAAAAGATGCACACTTCGTTGCATCTTAAGTTCCTCTATTTGCATTCTTGTGAAGAGTTCTTGGATTTTAATGCAGGCATCTTTGACTTTGATGTTACAACCCTCAACCTTCACAAACTTGGCATGTCCCTTATTGTGGCAGTTTATTGTCACCTGTCTCATTTTTTTAGGACAAAAAATAAACAGTAAAGGTAAAAGGACTAAAAGCAAAAACAAGGCAAAAACAAACATTTTTTTTTTAATTGAAGTTGTACTAAACTGAGCTATCCAACCCTATGTTAGCAGTTTCTGACCAGAATTTTATTTTTCAAATAAATCTTGAAGTGAATGTGATGCATCACAAGAGGGATGCATCCAAGTTGGAAATCAATGAAAAACTTACTGCCCCTCATTTATGATAAAACCATAATGGTCTTGTTCATGTTTTCAAATCATCCCGTTGTTTGTGGGTTACCTTTTTTGGGATTGAACATAAATAGCGTTACATACTTTTTTTTTTAATTTGGATCTATTTGCATTCGTTTATTCAATCAATCCACCTGAAATGACTAACAGATGACTAAAAAACATTCAATAAGAAGTACACAAACATTCAAGATAAAATGTACACCAAGAACTTTGGCTGTGTTCGAATTACTTAGCCATGGCTTGCAATTACACACAAGTCTATGGAAAGTGGCTGCAGCTGCTTCCTATAGACTTGTGTGTAATTACAAGCTATAGCCAAGTAATATGGACATAACCTTTTTGTAATTAATATAAATCAATAAATGAACCCATGGCTGGTTCATGACAGTGTCTTACTGATGAGTAATTATTTAAGCAATTAGCAAGGTCATTTTGATTGGGGGGGGGGGGAATTTCTTTAAAAGGGCACTTGCACATATATTCATGCAGAAATGTAGACTCATTTTTTTCTCCGAACACTTGGCCTCCGTATAAAATCAAATTTTTTTTTGGGGGGGGGGGGGGGAGGAGCGAAATGGCGACTTACAAAAGCTGACTTAGAAATGGAAATGCATTACAGACAATCGGGACTTTAGTCAGACGGCCGACTTGAGCGATTTGACAACTGAGTTGTACGATGTCGACTTGGCAGGAGTTTACTGTATGCACATTAACGGACAATATAGGGCACTTTGCAAGGCAATAGGTGTGCGAAATTGAATAAAAAGGCACTGACATAAAGGCCCGTGAAATTAAACAAAAAGGCATCGTATAGGCCGCTGGCACAAAAAAGGCACCACTTTTTTCAAAAGGGCACTTGTTCAGAAAAAGGGCACTAGTTAACAAAAGAAGGGCACTCTTTAAGAGGCTCAATAGAGTGCTCAGGTGGTTTCGGGTGCAACATGCAAAGGGTTAATATGTGACTACATACATTATACTTCTTCCCAATGGCGCGGAGTTCAGCCCGATGTTCATCGGTCATTTTGTCTATCATTCCATGTTCATCAGATAGATACTGTGACAAAATAAAAGTAGAATTGCATTACAAGTATATAAGGTTCAGTGGGTAGAGACATAATTCAATATTTATCTCTGGTTGGCGGAAAGTCTCCATAACCGCTGGACACAGTGACATGATTGTACTTCATCATTTGTTCTTCTGACTTAATAAATCTGTCTCTTGTAATGCGTGTCTGATAATTTTACATATGGATAAGCCTAGTAATCTCGTTGATCTAGAATATATAGACATGTATCTTTTCTTTAAACAACCGCTGTGATTCAATGATCTAGGCAAATAGACAATTATGAATGTAAACAGAGAATTATGTACACATATAGACATATATATGCGCAAAAATAGACAACGGTTCACACAGATTATTGTTCCCAGATAAATATCACATAGGGCGCATACTGTTAACTCAAAAAATTGTAGAGTGCGCATTCATAGACAACTGACAAGAATGTACTCCCACAAGATTGTACTCCCGCATTATTGTACTCCCGCATTATTGTACTCCCACAAGATTGCACTCCCACGAGATTGTATTTCCACAAGATTGTACTCTGGCAAGATTGTAGTTTGGCAAGATTGTACTCCGGCAAGAATGTACTCCCTCAAGATTGTACTCCCACAAGATTGTACTCCCACAAGATTGTACTCCCACAAGATTGTACTCCCACAAGATTGTACATTGGCAAGAATGTACTTTGGCAAGATTGTACTCCAACAAGAATGTGCTCCCTCAAGATTGTACTCCCACAAGATTGTACTTCCAGCAGATTGTTCTCCCACCAGATTGTACTCCCACAAGGTTGTACTCCCACAAGATATTGTACTCCCAGATAGTACTCCGGCAAGATTGTACTTCAACAAGATTGTACTTTGGCAAGATTGTACCGCGGCAAGAATGTACTCCTGGCCACGATATTGTTCTTCCAAAAGATTGTACTCCGCAAGATTGTATTTTGGAAAGGATGTTCTCCCGCGAGATAGTACCTGAATACACTATTTTCATTAAAAAAAAAGCAAGGGTACTAAGCGAAAATGTTTTGTGAATTCAAGTATTACTTAAACTGTAAGACTTGTCTTTGTCAAATATTTTAGTGGGGTGCTTACCGTTTGATGGCATAAAGTCACTTTGTTTATACTGCCCCAGGCCAATGGAGTACAACCAATGAAATTCCAAAGTGATTAAAAGATGCCATAGAAAATGTATTAGTCTACCTCAGACGTATATTCCTCATCTTGAAACTGATCAATCTTGCCAGATGCTCTCTTGACAGAAGACATGTCCATGGCGTAGATATTGAGAATGATGGTTTCTTCAAGACTTTCATCATCTGTTGAAGCATCATTAGGGGCAGCACCACCAGACACAACAGACCAGGCAGATTTCATCAACCCTGTCATCCAAATATGGATAGTAACACATCAAATTCACTTAAAGATAAAACAATTCCAATTTGTTCAACCCATTTTTATTAGATAAGTGGTACATAAAATCGACTATGCAATCGCGTTCTTCAATAAAATCCACGATATGCATAGTTGACTCATTTATATGCATTGGGGCTTATGTTTCCTTTAATGATTATATGAGTTAATTACCGTATTCAATGTTTATGATGTCTTTATTTTTAAGTTCTTTAATTTGTATAATGTTCATTTTCCAATTCGTCAATCAATTTTCCATCATAAACATACATTAGTGATGTATGTGGCAAATCTATTGGAATTATTAGTCGTTTGAGATTTGTATATTCCAAGCTATCATTTTACGCACCCTTTATTGTTCCTTAATTTTACCTTATATTATTTATTGTAATATTGTAAGGGCCAATGGATTTCCAAATAATTTACGTAATATAGTTTTTTTACAAAAAAATGCTATCCATGTAATTTCCAACAGTCATTTTCAAGCAAGCATCAACCCGCTTTATTCAATAATTACAATCTTCTTCTTATCAATTATATCAATATTTTTCAGCAACTGGCATTTATTTATAAACATTCCTTTAATTAACTTCCCCAACACTTTATTAATATGGTTCAACCTAATCATCATCTTCCCTATTGCATATTTCCAAGTTCACGACATCTGCCTTTAAACACAGTATAAGGCACTCTGGGCCACTTCACTGGAATGGTTTACCTTCAAGTTTAAGGAATAGTCAGAGCTTGTTCAGTTTTCAACGTTATCTTAAGTCGTACCTTCTTCAAAAGTGATTTTGTTTAAAATTTAGTTTCTACTCTGATATATACTCTTACTACATATTTTTCTTTCTTTTTTTACAGTTGGATCAACCACTGGAATTGTGTGTGTATTTGCTTCGTGTATTTACATGTAATATGTACTGTTTGTGTTTTGTCAATTTAGTCTGTACTGTAGCGTTTGTAATTGTATGAGCACTCCCTATTACACAAATCTTGGGGTGATCGATCATTTCTTACGCAGGTCCTCATCTTTGGAACAAACTACCCCTTGCCATTTGCAATATCTCATCGCTTTCTGAATTTAAAGTTGCCCTGAAGATCTATTTGTTTCAGACCACTCAGAATATTCTTGTTTAGTTAAATTAAATTGTTTTGTTATTTCTGATTTGATATAATTTTTGTTTGCGCCATGAGCGTCATTTATGGCGGATATTGGTGCGGTATAAATTGCAGTTATTATTTTATTATATTATTTAAGCTGTGTTTTTTGGCTGTGCCTCCAAATCCTACCCTTCTATTTATATTGTATTCCTATTGATTGATGGAATTGGAAATAAATGATGATGATGATGATGATGATGATGATGATTCATATGCACAGGATGAAATTTAACATACATGTTGTAGTTTTCTACTGCAGTGGATTCTCTTTTTAGCTGCGGGATAGCAGCTCAACAAATCGCCATGTCTCTCTGTTAGTCAGTTAGTTAGTAACAAACATTGACACTGTCTATTGCTTCTACATATTTTGACCCATTTCAACAAAACTTTGTCAAAAGTATAATAAGCCTAGCCCCATCATATCACAAGACCAAAGTGGGTCAAAGGTCATCATGGGGTCACAAACCTGATAATTTTACTCCAAACACTACTCCTTCCAAAATTTACATGGCTCAATCACGTGACTCATGCATGAACAAAATTCGTTGGCCCACAGCTTCCAAGATATTTCTGATCGAGCTTAATTGTTTGGGCATACTTCAGATCGATTCAATACTTAATGAGCAGTCAATGAGCTAATACATAAAAGTACCGAAATAGTTTGTTTTTTATTCAGGCACGGTTATAAATATGTAGCTAGCAACAAGGTATTTACCCAAGCCTTTAGACAGCAAGACTTTTTGCTCTCTGTACGAAGTGCCAACGCCGCTCTTCAGAGCATCTTGAAATCCAGAAACCATGTCTCGCTGGAATATGACTAGACGGATGAGACGGAGATATTGAGGCTTCTTACGGACTGCAAATTCACCAACAGCTGTCAACATGGTACTGGCACAGTCTGCCACTGACTGACCAGCTTGGCCTGAACAGAAAAGGAATTCTGTGATTACTTTGGGTCTTTCAATTTTAATAGAATTCAACACAGACCAATGGCTATATACAACAGCAACCGTATACTATAATTTCATGTTTTATAGTTTTTTGTTCAAGTTGAAAAAAAGTGATCAGCCTATCTTTTCCACAGCTCCTTTTTATACTATGTCAGAGTGATGAGGCAGTAAAGGGCTGTCCATAAAGTGCGTATGCACAAAGGGAGGGAGGATGGAGGAGGGGGGTTATTAACAATGCATGCCCATGTGCAATTTCGGGTACATTCTTTGAAACTCTCAGGATCACTTATAAAAACCTCAAGAAATTAAAAACCACTTTATGCCATTGTTTTCTTTCCCTTTTATGGGCGGGGCATGACTTTAACAAGTGGGGGCTTCGTGTGCAAAAAAATGATTCAGATAATTTCACTTTTCATGTTGAGCATTTGGACACCTCACCCAAGAGCTACATCACGTGAAAAAAAGAAAAAGAGAATTCCAGAATTGTGCCTCTTCAGGGACGGGGCCACATTTTTTAAAAGCTGGGGGCAAATGTCATTAACAGACATTTTTTTTGGGGGGGGGGGGGTTTGTTTCCACTCAGTACAAAAAAAAGTGGCCTGGCAAAATACTTGCCTGTCAAATCATAAGAAAATTGTTCCCTTTTGGAGGTGTTACATTTTTTTCATAAAAAGGGGCATTTTCCAAAAGTGGGCTTGCGGGAGCCCATATGCATTGTGGGTATATATTCTTTGGAACTCTCAGGATCCCCTATGGACACCTCAACATGTCCAAACAAATCGCTTGGTCCCATTTTTTCAATGCCCCTGGGGTTGTCATTTTGAATTTCCAAATGTCAGCCACTTAAACATCTATCCTACATATTGTACACATATAAATTAACAACATACATGTAATCAACTTTGAGACATTTATGTTTTGGTCTTTTATATTGTATCCTGAATACAATGCTGACCTGCTTGACAAAACACTTAAACTGTAACAGCCATCTTAAGCTTCAAATTGGCCGCCACTTATGGTTTATATTAAAGAAACTATTTGCACTTAATGTAAAAAGTCTGAAAATGGCAAAGTTCAATAAGCCAAAGAGCAAAGTTATCAAGCTCAGATTATTAAGCGAATGAAATGTAAATCACTTGTAATTGGACACAAGTTTGATGAGGCATTTGATATCCATGACCTTATTCAGAAAGAAAAGTTTGAGAATCAGTCCATAGTTTCACAAGAGATATGGGTGGATTGTTTTATTTAGTACTTTAAATATGGCATACTATTGAATATATATGTGTGTACCAAATGTCTAATTATTATGATTAGGGCTACCTCCACATTAGATATATCAAAAGGAAAACGTGATAATGCAAGCCTGTTTAAGAGGTATATGCCTGTAAATCTTTCAAATTTTCACATGTGAAAAGTAGTATATAAAGTCAATGTTTATTTAATTCAGACATTTTTTTCATGTAATTTGAACTGGTAACATGCTATCCTGGAATATTATTAGTCATTTTATAAGGGCCTGGGAACTTTTGCCAAACTGGGACCAAGTCACTATCAAAACCTCGTCCAGCCAAGCTTTTGCGGATCCGGCGATTAGAGAAAGAATTAGATCCTGCTTCCAAACAGATGCTTGACAACGTTCTCTTAAGATGTGTTTCATTTATGCATTACTTTAGCAGTGTGACAGCTTTCGGACTGCGCAAGGTATATACGGCCATGGAGATAGACCTTTCAGATGCAGTTTTCTCAAAATTGGGGAGACATATTTAGGTGAACAAACTGGTTTTTGACTGTTTCTCTGTATGTCTCCCCAATCCCCACCTAATTCTCATTGGAAAGCGGACTTGAAAACAAAGCGTGACGTCATAGGGTATCAGGTCTATTCCACTGACAACTGTGCAACTGCAAGATGTTCCTGCAAAGTAACTAGTTTGCACTGAAGATGTGAGGCTTAAGAGATGTGAGCAGATACAGCCAGCCACCCTGATGCTGACACTTTTTGCGAACTTGTAAAATGACTAATAAAATTAAGGAAAGCATGTAACCATTTCGAATTAAACAAAATATATTACATATAATAAAAATCTTGTGTAATCCACCCATATCTGGATTTAACGTGTGAAACTATGGACAGATACCCGTAGGTCTCAAGCTGTTTTTTTTTACTGAATAAGTTCACGGATATCAAATGCCTCATCGAACTTGTGTCCAATTACAAGTGATATATATATCATTCGCTTAATCATCTTATTTTTAGACTTTTTCCAATAAGTGCAAATAGTTTCTTTAATATAAACTATAAGTCGCGACCATTTTTAAAGTTTATAATGACTGTTACAGTTTGAGTGTACTGTCAAGCAGGTCAGCATTGTATTCATGATACAATATAAAAGATCAAAACATAAATGTCTCAACAGTCGATTACATGTATTTTGTCAATTTATATGTGTGCAATATGTAGGATAAATGTTTAAGTGGCTGACATTTGGAAAATCAAAATGACAACCCCAGGGGCGTTGAAAAAATTGGACCAAGCGATTTGTTTGGACTTGTTGAGGTGTCCATAGGTGATCCTGAGAGTTCCAAAGAATATATACCCACAATGCATATGGGCTCTCGCAAGCACACTTTTGGAAAATGCCCCCTTTTTATGAAAAAAAAGTGACTCACCCCCAAAAGGGAACATTTTATTTTATGATTTGACAGGCAAGCATTCTGCCATGCAGGTTTCTGTACTGAATGGAAGCAAAAACTAATAACAAAAACAAACAAAATGTCCGTTACAGCTCCATTTTCTGTTAATGGCATTTGCCCCCTCCTTTTTAAAATGTGGCCCCACCCCCGAAGAGGCACAATTCTGGAATTGTTTTCCTCGTGATGTAGCTCTTGGGTCCAAATGCTAAAAAGAAAAGTGAAATTATCTGAATCATTAGTCATTAAAGTCATGCCCCGCCCATTAAAGGGTCAGAAAAAAATGGCATCAAGTGGTTTCGAACTTCTTGAGGTATCTTTAAGAGATCCTGAGAGTTTCAAAGAATGCATCCGAAATTGCAAATGGGAGGTTATTTTCGACCGTAAGCCCACCGACTATATTTACCTTTTGATAAACTGTCATAAAATCAATACAATTTCTCAGATTTAATACCTACCAGGGCCAGCTTTTAACATGTTTAAGCATAAAAAATCATCATCCTTCAACCCCCCAAATTTAAATTTCTTCCTGATGCCACTGCCAGCCAACGCCTCTCGAGGTCATTAAACTTCAGAAAGAGCAAAATTACACAAAACGCGATTGTGATAAGGAACAGCAACTTCTGCAACCTATCGCTGACTTCTCTTTAAACTAACAATATTTTTTGTTAATTTGAGCAGCATCTTTTGGTAGAAATCTTTTTTTGTGTGGCATTTTGTCTTCTTCGTTATCGTTTTACCTCAAATTTTCCACAAGAAATCGAAACCCTGCCCTCTATTAACACTCTTGTTGGTTTACACGTTGCTTACTAGTTTGGCAATAACCTAACTATACACCATCGCCAAAAAATGACTGCTTTAATTAGCCGGCAAGCATAACACATTTGCAAGGCTTTGTAATGTGCATGTGCAGTACAGAAGGGAGGGGCACAGTGCATACTTTATGGACGGCCTTCAAGATGGAATATGATTAAATGTATTTTTTGGTCGAAAAACTATTTTAGGTAGTCATTTTGGCATCTTGTTTATGCAAAATGCAAGTTTTATTTTGAGTTTTTATATTCAAGGTAGGGAACTTCAGATACAGGGTACTGAAATGTCCTTTTCTTGCTTTGGCAGTTACCAAATAAGAAACTCATCATGAAACCATGAGAAAGTTGTTTTGTTGGCCTTTTTTATTTTATAGTTTATTCACTTAACTTCAGGAGATCTATTGTGCAAAAAAATCCACCCTTAATGCTTTGACTAGAATAACGGCACAGAATTGACAGAAGACCCCCTCTAAATGTGATGCAAGTCGCCATGGAAGTGCCATTACAATCTTCCTAATTACCTGTGCCCAGTGCTGGGAATGAAACTGACTTCACTTTCTTATCCTCTGCCTGCTGCAGGGTCTTGAACACTATAGTTTTAATGTCTTCCGGAGTTCGAGGAGTAACAACATGGCAAATAAAGCTGCACTGAAGTGACCCACCACCAGTCCAATAGATTAGTTTCTTCGGGTCTGTTGACATGTTGTACAAGGAAAATGTAAAAGGTATGATTAATATAAATATAAATAAAATCACAATGAATTCGCAATTGATGAGGGTTCACAGAATTTCTACGCCAGCTCTTTGCATCAAAAGTATCCCCCACAACTTTTTTGGGAAAAAAAATCTGTCTGCATGGTTGAAAAATGTTGGAATAGAGCAAATTTAACCGAGAAACAATAGATAGACGATATATCCGAAAGGCGTAATTAGACCCACAGCGGGCACAATGAATTCGCAACTGATGAGGGTTCACAGTATTTCTACGCAAACTAATTTCATCAAAAGTATCCCCCACAACTTTTTAAAAAAAAAAAAGAAGAGAAACTCTAGTTTAAAAATGTTGGAATAGTGCAAATTTAGCCGAGAATCAACTCCTTAGTTCCTTTTTTTTGGAGGGGGGGGGGGGGAGGGGAGAAAAGAGAAGGTGGGGGGGGGGGGCGCTGGATGGACGATATATCCAAATGGCGCAAATTAGACCCACAGCGGGTGCAATGAATTTGCGATTGATGAGGGTTCACAAAATTTCTATGCAAGCTCATTTGAATCAAAAGTACCCCCTCCAAATCACTTTATGAAAAAAAAGAGATTGTCTGGTTAACAAAAATGGTGGAACAGTGCAAATATAGCCGAGGATCAACTCCCAAGTTTTTGGGCTTCCATCTGAGGGAAGACTTGATAAAATTACGTTCGAAAAATGGGTCATATTTGCCCGAGAAAATGTAGGGATGCCACTTGTAAATTTGGCTACACGCTTGGCCATTACCCTTGCTCTATGCCATTACTTACATACGGTCGTAAAAGTGGTCCTTTAATCATTCTACACAAAACCCCAAGCACCGGGGGTATTGTGTACAAACCTTGTCACACGACCTATCAAGCTCAATTGAATTTGGCAAAAACCTCACCATAAAGAATAAGTCAAGACAGAAGTACCTGACCAACTTTTACGAGAATGTGTTCGCAATGAAGATTGCTGGTGTGCAAACTATAGCCTCTGAACGTCCTTTTTGTGATGTTTGCTAAATTTTATGTTTTTTTTTTCAATCAAACTTTGATTCTCAAGTTTAACAAACTTAATAAAGAGAATGTAAAACATGATTTAAAATTATGGAATATGTGTAAATTCAAGACAATAATTTGATTTGATTTGATTTGATTTGAAATGGTATATTTTAATTTAACCATGACAGCAAAAAGCTGAATTGCGGTTAATTTACATTAAAAAAACATTAAAAGAGTTATACATGTTAAACAAAATGATGAATAAAAGAGAAAAGACATAATCACCTTTTTTGCGAAGCGTATCACACTCTTTCGCGATACTCTTTCCACCATTGGTCAGGATAGCCTTAGAAACTGGACCTGTAAAAACATCTACTTTGTAATCATTGATGCGATACATGTACTTATGCATGGAGTTATTACATGTTAATGTTATCCGATACAACGTTCATCCATCTTTAGCTTCAGAGAAGGCGGGTAGTCGACAATGATACTTGCCAGTTTAGCAAGAACGTTCTGATACATATATATGAAATCGATATACCATCATGTGCCTGCTGCTAGTTTTGCTGTTTACTAAGTATGCACGTGAGTGTTCATGCACAGTAAATATTTATCAGCATTTTTTCCAAGTGCAATGATGCTGAAGTGAAGAATATTGTGTGGACAATAATGATGCCTCCTCTATTAAAAAAAGGTTCTCCACAATGCGGTAGAAACTAAACTTTCCTGAGGTTGAGCAAGATTCTGCTGGTGCGCTGGAAGTTTCTCCCAAGATTTTGTGCTGAGGTTGAATAATGCAACTGTAAAATTCAGCAACTGAATATATACGAGGTATAGTAAAACAATGTATAAGTGGAAAAAAACCCTAATATAGCTATTAGGCTATATATATCGACTATCCTAATATCGACTATCCACCCTCAAACAATGTTATTTGTCTTTTCAAAAAAATACCTTGCAAAGCCAATCTTAGCCCAACACTGTTGACAATGACATCAGTTGCTTCTTTCACAAGGTCTCCCCGTCCAACTTGAAGACAAACAGAACCTATCTTTGTCTGTAGCATTCCTGTGTCATCACGTTGTATGGGTGAGTAAGCTTGGCGGTCAGTGGGAGCTACAGAAACATGTGTGACAGGTGTTTGGTAAAGATGAGATCGTGGAACATCAATTAAAAAATGATCAGTTTGATGATCAAGGTGCAAGAGTATTGAGTTGACATACATGATCTTCTGATGAAATGGCAGAGTTGTAATGCATTCAATCATAAGACAAAAGTCAAATTACAAATCAAAACGCAAGCCACACCCCTACAGTCATGTGGTTGCTAAGGCAAATCGTCTGCCGTTGTTAAGCAAAGCTAATCCGATTAAGCTATAGCAGAGCAGGGAAGTTTATGCACCACAAAAAACATGGCCTTTTGAACGTTGTGTTTCTTAAAAATATGCACAGTATGATTGAGAAGTTAAATTAAAACGGAAGAAGAAACTTTCCCCAAATCTCTGTATTTATATGAAATTCTAGGAATTTTTATTTTTTTTATTTAACGAGTAGTTGAACACTTATATAATCTAAGTATATTCCGAATTTCAGCTTAATCTGTTGTTGCAAACGCTAAAATTACAATTTGAACCATCTCCATGGAAAACTTCGACGATGATTTCTGCCGACCCAAGCCACATGCATTGTTCAGCAAAGCGCCTTAAGCCCGGTTCATACTCTGCGCAAAAGCGAAAGCAAACGCGAATTGGTGACGTCATGAGGAGTATTCGCGCTGCGAATTTGTAAAAGTTGAACATTTTTTTAACTCGGACGAATTTCGTAGCGAATGTTTTATGACGTCGAATCGCTTCGCATTCGCATTCGCATTCGCATGAAGTATGAACCGGGCTTTAGGCGCTACGGTTGACCGATTTCGGCCAAGCCACACAATATCGTATTGTAGATTAGCATATTCATTAGCGTCACTCAGTGTGTTTTGGCGTGGGTCTCGGTATCGACCAATGGAAGCCGGCAAAAAGGGTGATATTTATCAATTAACAACTCGTGAAGGAGGCTTTTTTCAAAATGTTTACTGAATTTTTACTTTAAGGAACCTTATTAATATTGGTGAGGCTTAAAAAAATTGACAGCTATTGCAAACGTCAGTGTTACAACTTTCAATGATGCACGTAGCCAGGCCTATTTTTCCAATTTCAACAAAAAGTAATGAATATACCACAACGATTTTTGGCACATACTTGGATCATTATAAGGGAAATAAATCCTGAATGTTGCATGAAAATACGGTCTTCCAAACTGGAGAAATTAATTTTCAAAGATTTCGCCCGCCAACGTGAACATGTGTGCACATGTAGTTTCATTCAAAATAAAGTGCTACGCAACCTTTAGAAATCGCCCTTCGCAACCACTAGACTGCCTAATCAAGTCAGAAGTGACAGAGATGAACAATGACAAAGCAATGATTTATCACAGTTCATTAGAAGAGCTTGTCGTCTGACTTGAGACTGGATGACTCATGACTGGCCTGTGCAGACCTGTGATGATTTACTATTAATGTTGACACTGGAAATGAGAAAATCTTCCCAGTACAATAAAGCAAAGTGAAACAAATGTTGGGCATTAACAAAAATAAAAGGTGATATTCCCAAGGAACATGAAGGACATACTTCAATGCCTCGGGTTTTAAAACATGAACTTTTACGTCACGTGACCAGTACTACTACTAGTACTCTACCACAGGAATTTCACAATTTAATACCATAGTGTAACAAAGCAAAGTTAAACGCAATTTATGCAATATACATTTGCAATAAACAAGTGCAAATCCAGTCACCTCTGCCAATGTCGGTGCCATCTTCGTCCTCCTGAAATTGGCTGAATCGATCCATCACAGCCCTTTTGAATACATCACAAGTTGGCTGGTCATTGTTGGTGAAATGAATCTCCGTCAGGGTGGGGATGGGCATGTTCTGACAGAACTCAGCCACGGCGTTAAGGATCTGCTTTGCGGCAAGGTCAACTGGGAAGCCATAAACACCAGTGCTGATGGCTGGTATGGCGATGGACTGCATATTCAGCTTATTTGCCAGTTTCAGGCAAGCAATGACGCCGTCATACAGCAGATGCTCTTCAAGGCTTGACTTATCATCATCTGGAATAGATGTGGCTCCTCCATGATGTGGCCATTTAGGTCCTGCAACATGAAAAACTCTCTTGCAGGGTAGTTTTCCGTTAGTGGTGTGAACAGGCTCACCCACATACAATTGGCGACGCTTGAACCTCAATATTTGCTCACACTCAGTCTGAATGACTCTCCCACCTGTGAAAGAAATGAAGACATCCAGACAATCAACTCATTTATGCCAAATGCTTCAAGTAATGTATCAAAGCCCATATAAGCCCAACTGTGAATAAACTCCACTATTTATATTGCAATGTATAATGTAATGCATATATCTAGTTAGGTTTACCTGCTTCGACAACAGCAGCTGCTAGTCCTCCAACATGTTTCAGTTCTGTGTTTGTAGCATTCACTATGCAGTCTACTTGTTGCCTTGTCAGGTCACCTCTGCATACTTTCAAAGTGAAGCCATTTGGTAGAGCAATTCGGCAGAGTACCCTCGTGGATACCATTGGTCTCACTGCTGCACCTCCTCCAACTTCAGCTTCATCATCGCTGTCTTCCTGCACATTCTCTCGGATAACACACTGGCATTCATCCTCAAGCGATTCCAAAAACTTCTTCCCTTTGCTTTCTTGGAAGAGTTGGGCCATTCCAGTCCTTGAGACCGGATAAGGCTGCTCCTTGATTCTATCTATCAGGGAAACAATGACCTGCCTTGCAGCTTCCAAACCCTCTTCATTTCCTTGAATCACAAATCCCTTGTGGCGGCCACTCTTCTGTGGCTGGATTTTCACATGGTGTTTGGCATTCTGCATTGCTACGTTTACCAAATCTGCGCCATGGAATTTGTCGATGAGACATATTTTGTTCTTGTTTGCTGGAACGATTTTCTTTAGGATGACATTGTCTTTCAAGAAATCTATGATTTTATGCTTTGTCTCGCCCAAGTTAGTCTTGAAACCTGCAAGTTCAACAATGTTTCCTGCAGAACAAGAAAACAAAATGGGAAATTACACTTTAACGACTCCAAACCATAAGAACTTAACATAAGTTTTCCGATACAAAAGTGCACCCGCATACATGGAAACAGAATCCAAAATAATAAGACAAACTATATAAGTTTGAATGGAGGTCCACAATAGGTTTTAAAAATGTAGGAAAATCAAAGACATGTATCCAACAGTTGAGACTGGCATTCCAGAGCCACGTAAAACCAAATCAAATTGGAAACGGCACAAGTCAACCTGAGTAGATTTTTGGTTTCCAACAGATGAACTTAACACACGAGTAGTGGATACAAATAAACACACGCTTTTAGCAACAAACTGCCACTGTGCAACTCTTTTTTGTGGTTTGTTTGTTTTCGAATAGTTCCTCCTCGTCCAACATTTTTCTGAAGCAGTTTCTGACCCACAACGGTCAACAAACAAATCCTAATCCAAGTTCGTGACGGCAGAAATTAAGAATATAAGGTAACTACAGAAAAGTGTCAACTTATGATGTTGCGGGAGGAAAAAAATACTACATTTCTCTTTCTTTCACATTTTTACAAAAAGAGCATGCTAAAACCACAACTATTTCTTTTTTATGGGTGGGCTGTGAGACATGTCATATAATAATTATTACTACAAATAACATATATGTATGTGAACAAAAAAACCCCTACATTTGAGTTGAGTTTGGCTCATGACTATAGAGCAACTTCTAAAATCAAGTTGCTCCCGAGTCTGAACGAACTTGACAGTCGATTCTTCACCATCTAACGCGTCTTGTTACTCCCAAGGCTAGCATTTTTTTTTATTGACTGGACTACGAACATGGCGCACAATTTCGCAGGGTCGGAGAACGAAATAAAACTAAAACTTTACAGTTCTTGTTTTTAACAAACGAAATGCTTCATGTAGTACGTGTAATGTTCATGTTCCCTAAAACGCAATGTGGCATGGCCACTAATTATGTTGCATGACACCAAACATGGAGCACCTTGATTTTCTTTCTTCCAAATGTTAAAAATCCCGCGTCGGAAATAAAAATAACCATAGTTTTCTCATTTTTTCTCTTATAATCTCGTATTCAAAGTCGACAGTTTCGTTATCCAATAAAATAAAAAAATGTCGCCTAACAGTTTGATCACATCAGACTACTCGTGTTCTTCATCCCAGTCTTTACTTTGATTTGGCTCAGTGGAACTCTGGAATGCCTGTCTGAACAGAGGGTCTATTTCTCTGTGGAGTGTTTTCCCTAAATTTTACCTCCTTTGTTGCTGATGGCTGCCATAACAAATTTCTGCTTGTTGATCGCATCAAGGAGTCTCCGGCCGGTTTGGTTCTGGAGAACATCCATTGCAGCTTGGCCTCTGATAGGAATGACATCCTCTTCTATTTCCCTACTGAAGTATGCTTTAGCCTCGGTTGTGTCTTTCTTAGTGGCACCAGATATGATGATCTTGCCATCATCGGAACCCTTGCATGCTGCTCGAATGCCCTGCGACCATAGGATCTCATGGATTTTGTCGATAACATTCCGAACGAACTTTACCTTGTTACATCCTGTTTTGAGTTCTACTTTCTCCAAATTGTCCATTTTCCTGCGCATCGACAGCTCTGCATCCCAGACGATCTTACGTGATCCTTCAAAAGTGAGTTTGATTTTATCTTGCAAAGACATGACAGTGATCTTCAGGTTTGGAAAGTCATTTTCAATGACATTCTTGATGCCAAATATGATAAAAGGCTGGGACTTCTCTTCTGTCAAGAGGATGTCTTCTTTTGTTTCCTCAGCTTCATACTCAGCCTTTGCTTTCAACTCCTTAATGATTCTATTGATATCAGTACATCCTTTGTCAACAAATTGCTGCTCCCCAACCAGAGTGAGTGAATGATTGCTAGCAATCAGCTGAATGGAAAAGCTCTGGGTGTTCAGCTGATTTATTTTATCAATGACGTCTTTCCAAAATGGCGGTGGGACTACAATTCTGGATGACTTACACCTGTTCAGGAATTCAGTCAGAACTTGGGTAGCAGTTTCAGACCATTTGAGCCAGGATGGTTGTCGCTGTCCATCTTCCAGTAGAGGTTCCAGCCTAGCTGTTGTCTTATCATCACCATCTGGCCATTTCAGAATGGCCTTTGCATCCCTCAGCTTCTGAATCAATGTTTTCTTTGTGTGTTGGCCCTTCCCGAAGATGAACTCCATGATGGGTTCTTGGACTTGTACAGTGACTGGTTTAGGGACATAAGGAGTATAAGGGACATCTAATGGACTCAGCCTTCCCAGACATTCATGGTACTCTTCAACAAATAGCTCAGTGCCGCCAACCTTGTAGGGACCCCCTTTCGACAGAACGTCACCAACCACTACAGAAAAAAATTAATGCAAACACAATCCGATAATTTCAGATTCAACAGTAAAATTTACTACGAATGCAACAATTTCAGAAATTAGATCATATTTTGGAAAAAAAGTAAAACATTCTGCATTTAGGGAACTTTTACAACTTTCAGTGCCTAAAAATAATCCTAGTAAGTCTAAGTTCATGTAGGCCTACACAAAATTTTCCTCAGAATAAAATTAAAACTTCGTGTAAGGCGGTCCCGATCCCATGAAAACACAATATAACTACAAGTAATTTGACAATGTTTCTGCAGAAGGAGCAACATGAAAGAAAAGAAACTGTTGTTCTTCATGAAATGTTGGCATACCTTTCCAGTCTTCATAGTAAACAATTGCCTGAGTGTCCGTTGGTCCCTGCTGTACGTCTCTGACACCGGTGCCACCACTTTTCCTTTTGTTGTCAAAATACAACTCAATCATCTCCAAAGATGCTTTCGGTGATACCCCTTCAACACAAACATAGTTTTCCAAATAATACGATGCATATGTTGCAACTTGTTTGTACCCTAATTCAGTTTTTACAACACACACAACATCCCTGTAACAATTTATACAGTGTTAAAACTTGCAAAAAATAATGACAAAGAATTCAAACTGACAGATATCCAGGACTGATCCTGGATGCATAGTGTACCAACATTCCACTTAACTTCCATGCAAATGTGGACATGGCTGAAAAGTGAAACATTTATGAAATCTTCAGAACTTCAAGCATCAAATGTGATACTAAATTGAAGGGGACATCAAGACCTTTCACCTGATCGATGTACTGTGCCAGTGAGATGAAATAAAGTGTACATGTATTTCTTGTCAATAAACTGTATTGGGGGCTAAAATTATGGTCACTTTGGCAGTTTTTGTTTTATGCGAAATGTAAGTGTTACTGTGGTTTTTGTTTTGAATGCAGAGCAAAAGGTGATTTTTTTATGCCAAAAGAGTTTTTGTTTGAAAATTAGTTTCTCATTATAATATTTTAACTTGTATCAGTCTGGTGGACAGACTGTAATGCGAAAAACTGTAATGTGAGCAGGCACCCTTTTTCTTTCAAGCATCTATAACAAATTTTGTCTGACTTGTATTGTTCACATAAATACTTTATAAGGTATCGTGTAAAAATACACATTTGTCTATTACAATTTCATTCTAAGCAAACTACTGAATCGAAAGAATCAACAATATTAGCTGGCCTAATTTTCCAGTCTTAAGCAAGACCTTCTCAAAGCCTTTGGCATTTGCTTTTGTAACAATATCTCCAAAGAGTCCCATTCTGAAATGAGGGAGCATACAACTTTTGTTGGTTCCATCTGGGAAAAGCCTTGAATATTGGGTGTTATGCAGAAAAGGAAAGATATTGTCATACTAGTATGAAGACCAAGCACTCAGAATGGTTTTGTTGAATTTATCTAAAATATGAACTAATTCACTGGCTTTACATGTGGGTCTCACCTTCCACGAGAATACAATCTGACTCCTTCATCTTCTCTGCTGTCAAATAGGCTCCACTCAACAGTTTTGAAGAAATTCTTTTGATTACTTTTTCAAAGTCTACAAAACATTCAAAATAATACGCAATCAGTTAGATTTAAGTACAAATTGAACATGCATAGTAACGCAAGGACTAATGAAACACAATGAAGAATGTAGTAAAATGCTAAATAGAAACCATACCTTTTGGGTCTGGGATTTTATATTACTCTTCATATGCTAGGTAGTTCTCATTTAAAGGTTACTGGATTATTTGCTATTTTTATTTAATGTGAAGCAAGAAAGTGCTGAAGATCTAAAGACTGGTGCTGAACAACTAACCTAACTAACCTAATAACGTTTTAACTCTGTTAATGCTGACAATTTAAAATTATAAATTATCCTACCCCAAAGTAAACATCTATAATGTTGGCGCTATGTATCATGCATGTGCAGTCAAGTGCACCTCACTTTTTTTTGAAGAACGTGGCATGCATGAATAAAAGCAGGAGAAGTTACTTTCAAAGAGAAAGTTATACCTTGGATGTCTTCTGTGAATGTGCAAAGTGCTGTTCCGGGCATCTCACCATATTGTATCTTGAACTCATCCGTACCAGACCGATTCTCAACGAACATTGTCACAAGCTCTGGATTACACCAATCAGGAATTCCGCTCAGAAACAGACATCGCTTCTTGACTGGACGAGGATGAGGTTTCTTCTTTACAATCAGTCGCACCATCAGATTATCACCTCCAACCTTATGCTGTCTTGCAATCACTTTGGAAGCAACTATAAGAATTTAAAGAAAAACTATGCTAAAAAAATAAGAAAAGAACCAAGAGTGCCGTTTATTTTCAAACGATAACTTCACCTCCAAACCTATGATCCCATTCAGCCCGTGTCATTATGCTTATACAAAAGCTATGCAAATATCGGGATAGAGTTCATGTGTTCCCTTACGTAAGTACATTCTTTTAATTGTGCCTTTTTTATTTTTGTTTTTAATGCTCACTTAATAACACGATAATTACATACTTGATGTATTCTCAAATGTCATTCTGATGGCCCCAGTCTTTTTGTCATGCTCCCATGCCTTGATGTCACCTCCTCCAGATCTTATGGGATTCTCGAAATGCATCTTGAGCACCTTCTCTGACGATCGGTTGAAACCGGTAACCTCAACAAATCGATCCTCGTCATCCCCTTCTTCCCGTTGGTCTTTAGCCATCTCCTTAGTAAATGGTTAAATAATAGAGATTTTGTCTTTAATGGTGCATAAATGATAGCATTCTGCAATGAACCTTTTACATAAAGTAATTGTACAAAAGCTAATCGACAAAATCGATATAGCTACCTTCATTTCAACATCTTGCCGAAGTAGCTCTTGTTCATCTGATTCACTGTTGCTTGGAAAACTTGCGTCTTCGATTCCTTCCGCCAATGAATTAACGAACCGACGAGCTATCATCAATCCTTCTTCGTTACCTTGAATGAAAACGCCCGTTCTACTGCCGGATTCTGGAGCGATCTTCATGTGGTTGTGCTTGTGTTGCTCTGCCAGGCTGTCCAATGACTTACCATGACGCTTCAGAAGGACATCCATTTTGCTCTTATTCATGTTAATGAATTCTTTGTTGATGACGTTAGCTGTTAGGAATTCAAGTATGCTCTGTTTCACCTCTTCCAAGCTAGTCCTGAATCCAGCCAGCTGTACCACATCTTAAAAAAGGAAATTTTTGTTGAGGTTAACCTGCATGTATAAAAGATCGCTTTTTTCCAATAGTCCTTTACGGTAGGTATTAAAAATTAAAAGTTCTTACCTTCTGTTGTATTGATGTTTACCACAGTAGACTTCTGCTTGCTTGTTTCATCAAGCAGATCACTCCCTGCTTGGCTCTTTATAACAGAAAGCACAGTCTGATCCTTGATTGGAATGACATCCTCTTCTATTTCTTGATTGATGTACGCTTTAGCTTGGACCGTATCCTTCTTAGTGGCACCTAATATGATAATCTTGCCATCATCGGATCCATTACATGCTGCTCGAATGCCCTGTGAACGCAATATCTCCTGGATTTTGTCGATATGATTCTGAACGAACTTGACTTTGTTACGTCCCATTTTGATTTCTACTTTCTCTAGACTGTCCATTTGCCTCCGCATCGACAGCTCTGCTTCCTGGACGATCTTACGTGATCCTTCTAATACGAGTCTGATTTTATCTTGTAAGGAGATGACCACGATCTTCAGGTTCGGAAAGTCCTTTTCAATTTTATCCTGGATGCCACATATAATAAAATGCTGGGACTTCTCTTCTGTCAAGGTTATGTCTACATTTGTTTGCTGTGCTTCGTACTCGGCCTTTGTTCTGAACTCCTTAATGATTCTATCAATATCAGTATATCCTTCGTCAACGTCCTGCTGCTCCCCGACCAGACTGACTTGATGAGTGTAAGCATCCAGCTGAATGAAAAGGCTCTTGGTGCCAAGCTGATTTATTTTATCAACTGTGTCTTTCCAAAATGACGATGGGACTGCAATTCTGGATGACTTACACCTGTTCAGGGAGTCAGTCAGAACTTGGGTAGCAGTTTCAGACCATTTGAGCCAAGATGATTGTCGCTGTCCATCTTCCAGTAGAGGTTCCAGCCTAGCTGTTGTCTTATCATCACCATCTGGCCATTTCAGAATGGCCTTTGCATCCCTAAGCTTCTGAGTCAAAGTCTTCTTTGTGTGTTGGCCCTTCCCGAAGATGAACTCCATGATGGGTTCCTGGACTTGTACAGTGACTGGCTTAGGGACATGAGGAGTTGGGACATCTAATGTACTCAGTCTTCCCAGACATTCATGGTACTCTTCAACGAATATTTCAACATTCCCAACTTTGTGGGGTCCCCTTTTCGCGATAACATCATCAACAACTATTGAAAAAACAAAGCAAACATTTTTGTTTAGTTGATGAGTAAATGAATTTATACAGCCAAGTACGGAATGATATACTTTCTAAACTTGTTTTGGCAAGGTTTTGTTAATTGAAACTGGTTTTATTTGAATGTTTCAGCTCCTTATTTGTCAAATGCTCAAAAAGTGACACAATTCTGATAGTATATTCAAATCAGTGTGTGCATCATTTAACATTAAAATTATGCATGAAAATAATTAGCCTAGATTTGTATAATTCTAAATGCCTTACAAGGCAGGTTGCTTAGATCCAATATTTGACGAGATCGTAACTGCTTTGGAGATATATTCTTCTAGCTCTAAAACAGAGGGTGATACCTGAAATTCTTATGGGAAAGGTGCCAACGTTTATTAACTCCTAAATAGCAGCGGCGTAATATATACACATATTGTAGCATATTTAGTATATTTTGGGGATTTTATTTAGATATTCTTAACTTGCAAAACATTTTCTAAAGCATATAAGTGACTGGATAATTATGAGGACATATTAACGATCCGAATAGCTATACCCTATAGTTGCGCGCATACATTTATTTCCCAAACTTTAGTATTGATGAGCTTCAAATTCACAAAGTTACTTAATGCTGGCAAGGTTACCCCTATATAATAGGGGTAACCGTGCCAGCATTGAGTAACTTTGTGAATGTTAAAAAAATCATGTGATCAATGATAGTATCATTATATTTAGTCCAAAAGTAACAATGGGGAAAAACAAAAGTATTCCAAAACTTCGGCTACAAATTACGCCAGTGTTAACCTAAAATGGGGGACTTCGACAACTTCAAAGATACCCCCCAAAACAACTGATTCAGGTTGTTCATTATGTCAATGTCAAACATTTTCTTAGGCACATATACGGATTTCCTGAGAATTTTTTTAAAGCAACCATTCACTTAACTCTTAACGCCAATTTCCAGACACTTTTTTCCTCCCTTTGATTTTTGGACTATATTTCACAGTGCTACTATTGTTCACATAATTTTTATTAGGGGAAATGTGCAAGTAAATTACTTTGTGAATTTGAAGCTTATCAATATGCCTATTGAGGTTTGGCGAGTCTATAGCCTACTGGATAAAATTTAGGGGAAAATAAATGCGTGTCAACTTTAGGGAACAATGGTAGCCATTTTGGATCTGTAATCACAGTGTTCTTATAATTATCCAATCAGTTGTATGATTTAGAAAGTTTTTTGGAAAGATATGTAAATATAATCCAGAAACCATTTTTAACGTATTAAAATAAATGTGCATAAATTAATCGCTCAACGTCCTTTTGGATTTATGCAAATGAGGTACCCTTCCAAAACATTTAAGGTATTAGCTCTTCTAAATCAGCTAGCTCTGCATGGTCCATTCTATACATGGCAAATGTGGTCGAAATGTGAACTAAAAAGGATATAGGCATGAATACCTTTCCAGTCTTCAAAGTAGACAATAGCCTGAGAGTCCGTTGGTCCCTGCTGTACCTCTCTGACACCGGTGCCGCCACTTTTCTTTTTGTTGTCAAAATACAACTCAATCATCTCCAAAGATGTTTTTGGTGACACCCCTTCAAGACAAACATCTTTCTTTGTAAAATTATGTAAATATATTTTAAATGGTTATGAAGTAAAAGACGTAGTTTGTTTCCATCGGAATTTTTTACTTTAAGAGAGAGAGAGAGAGAGAGAGAGAGAGAGAGAGAGAGAGAGAGAGAGAGAGAGAGAGAGAGAGAGAGAAGTTATGTGTATCTAAAAACATAACCCTTGTTGTAAATCGTTTTTTAAAATCATTATAAAACAAAAGTGTTTGGTCATGTCACTCGGAATTATTTTATTTTAAGAGACAGGGGAGTTATCTGCAAAACATTATCCATGTTCCAACTACTGACAGCAATTCTCACCTTGCACTAGGATAGAGTCCGACTCGTGCACCTTCTCTGCTGTCACAAAGGATCCTTTCAACGTCTTTGTACAAATGCTTTTGATGACTCCTTCCATGTCTACAAACAATCGAAACAGTTTATTACTAATTAGTTTATTACTAAAATAAAAAGTGTGCTGAACAAATAATGCCCTGCTAGCAATGCTGAAAGGTTCGCATGCTGTTCTGCTTGTGTAAAATTAATTTTAACCTGAAAATTCGAACAGTTTATAATATATGGGCTTTAAAATGAAATTCATAATACAATTCAAAAATTACAACTTGATATCAAAACTATTGTTTTGTTACAGTAATTATGGTTGACAATAAAGACAGATCTGCACGTTTCAACTTTAATCCAAACAAATCACCTGGGATATCCTCTGCAAATGTGCAGATTGCTGTTCCAGGCATCTCACCATATTGTATCTTGAACTCATCCGTACCAGACCGATTCTCAAAAAACATTGTCACAAGCTCTGAATCGCACCCATCAGGAATTCCGCTGAGAAACAGACATCGCTTCTTGACTGGGCGAGGGCGAGGTTTCTTCCTCACGATCTGTCGCACTGACAGAGATGCACCATCAACCCTATGGGATCTGGCGACAACTGAGTGCGCAACTAAAACATAATCACAAAAGGTTTCAACAAACGTAACTAACGTGTAGATAAAAGAATTGAAAAATAAAGCGAGACCAGGTCAACTGTATAATCAATTAATGCTACGCTACTTCTTTTTTTTTTCTAATCATTGTTAATTTAAAAACAGTCTTTTCTTCATTGTGTTTCAATGAAGTTGGATTACTTTTTAATTCGGTGTGTACGCTTTTAGCTAGGAGGCGGCATTTCCAGGAAACATCGTAAATGAATTACACAGAATATGATTATCCAAATCAGGAAGCACCAGACTTGATTAACTACGCACCCGTTTTAGCTTAATGTTTAGATGGAGAATAATAGTGTTTTCCCAATAACCGTCTGTACTAATTACGTCACGCAATGTTTACCGCACTGCATTGTGGGATTGAGTGGCGGTCGCCGTACCGCGATCGATAATAAAAAAAACATGTAGTTTGTGTATTGGGGTCTACATGATTTATTTTAATTTGCGCCACTAAAGCTGTCGAAAGTGACCCTCAAAAAACCTCTTCTAACTTAATCTAAACTATATTTCAGGTCGATGATTCTTAAAAATAACGGAGAATTTAGGTATGCACAACGCTATAGTCACGATGGCCATATATCGCACAGCGTGAGACTGTGTATGTGGCGCTAGTACAGCGGGCAACGAGCGAGTTGCTGCGGCAGCCGATGGCGGGGAAACACGCTGCTTCAAGTACAAGAGCGGTACAATCGTACACGTCGAAATCAATGATTAAACCAAATAAGTACATAAAAAGATTAACCACGGAAAACACATTATACAAAAAAAAAAGACAGATCACGTTCTGTGAATCAAATTGAAGAACTTTTCTCCACCTATTTTGTTTGGCAACTGAGGCCGAGTTGACTTGGGACCGAGTTGACCCCGACTGAGTTGGTTTCGAGTCAACTCGGTTCAAGTCAACTCGGTCTCAAATGAACTTGATGGGGGAGAAAATGCTCTAGCAAGGCACAATAGAGACAAAAATCAAATTGTGTCATGTTATGGGGCCGTGCCATGTTAGGGTACATCAACCACACGCGTTAAAGTGGTTACATCATACACCACTGATATCACGCCTTGCTGAGGTCACGCGTTCCACACAAACCTGGGCTTATAGTACGATGGTCACTTTTCATCATTTTTTTATCGGTTGAAAAATAAAATAAATAACTGCATGAGTTACTTAAAGATACCGCTTAAGGGCACCGCTTCATATAAGGTAAGGTTTGTGTGGAACGCCTAACCTCGGCAAAGCGTGGCCTCACAGTCAGCGGTGTATGACTTTTTGTTGATGTACCCTAACATGGCACGGCCCCTAACATGACGCATTTAAATTTTCGATCCCAGTTTCTTGCTAGAGCATTTTTCTCCAGCAAGTTGATGTGAGACCGAGTTGACTTGGGACCGAGTATACCTGAGACCGAGTTAACGTCGGGTACTCGAGAGTTAACTCCAACTGACTTGGATTGGGACCGAGTTGACTCAAAACCGTAGTCGGGGTCAACTCGGTCCCAAGTCAACTCGGTCCAAGGTGCAAAACAATATATGTACAGAAATGTTCTGCAATTTGATTCACAGAACGTGATCTGTCTCTTTTTTTGTGTATATTTTTTCCGTGGGTAGCCTTTTGATGTACCGATTTTGTTAAATCATTTATTTCGAGGTTATACTGATTGTACCGCTCTTGTACTTGAAGCAGCATGTTTCCCCGAAGCGGCTGCCGCAACAAGTCGCTTGTTGCCCGCTGTATGTACTGGCGCCACCGGACACAGTCACACTCGATGCATACGCGTAGCATATCTAGTATTATAACACCTCACCCACAGATTCTGTGTCTTGATTGGCCGAGAGCGAGTTACATGTTACTTTCTAATTTTGCTATCTTTCTGTGCACGGCCAAAAGTACTATGCGCATATTAACCAAAGTACTATACCATTAGCAACCAAAGTACTATTTCCACGGCGCGGTATTTGTGTGCAAATGCATGCTGGTGTGCGCGTTGCGCGTTGTGCGTAGCGTGTATTATTCCAAAGAGAGTGCGCCGCAGACTTGGGTTCAAACATTTTGTGAAGGGGTAGTTTTTAAGAGAGAGAAATACATTTTCCACCAATTTTGTATTGAAATTAAAGTTTATTTCAGCTGTGTTTAGATTTAAATAATTTAAAATATTAAAATCAAGCAGAATCTTTGGGTGAAGTGTTATAAAACAAATATTGAATGGAATTCATTGAATGCCTTATCTCGTGGTAAAGTAAAACTAGCCTCCCTCGGTGATCCATGGATCATTCTATTTTCCCTCGGCTTCGCCTCGGGAAAATAGAATGTCCATGGATCACCTCGGGAGGCTAGTTATACTACACCACTCGAAGCATTCAATATTTGTATACTGTGCGATATATGGCCGTCGTGACTCAGCGGAATGTCGGACACTTCGCCCCATTTCCACGTCGCCCCATGTCACTTCGCCCCTAACCACTTCGCCCCATCCCCACTTCGCCCCATCCCCACTTCGCCCCATCCCCACATCGCCCAATCCCCACATCGCCCCATCCCCACTTCGCCCCATCCCCACTTCGCCCTATCCCCACTTCGCCCCATCCCACTTCGCCCCATCCACACTTCGCCCCATCCCCACTTCGCCCCAGCCGCTACATGTAAAAAAAAATCTCGTTTATTTTATTGGCTTAAAAACAATTCCAACAGATTCACTAATTGCTAACCAACGGAAAGAATTAGCCCACCAAATGAACAATTCATAACCAACCTCTCAAGCTATCACTCTCCCCTACCGAGAAAAAACTTGCTTGAAGTAAACTGGGTCCAACTTTGTTCCCAACCCGGCTATATACCAACCCGTCTCCCACTTATCTAAGAACGACAATACCTTTGACATCCTAATTTCACTCTTGGACATGTTGGAGGAACCAATCTCATCTAAATGAAGTTGTAAGTGTCACATATCAGACACATTTTGACGGAACACTTTCCCTCAAGGCAGTGAGTTCCTTTTAACTCACTGACCCATATACCTACGGATTCTTTTGAATCCAGCGGCTGATGAGTCCCCGAAGGGACGAATATGCATTCCGCTAATATTGCCCTCAGGTAAAACCTAACCCACCCCTATGCGCTGCCTAGGTAAACTTGGCTACGGTCAAAACTTCCATTGATTTCTCCTTCTTATTTCTACCCATTTTTTGAGACCCGCAATGTCTCAATTGAAGAACATAAACCACACAATGTCACACCGTCGAATAACTCAATCATTGTTCTTACGCATATTTTTTATTCACAAGCCAATAGGAGATGCGTCTCTGAATGGGATAGAGCCATCATTTCTCTCATCTGTGTCTCGAGCACCTCATGAGAGAGTTTGTATTTTTCCTGAGTTTCTAGAATTGGGAGCATTTATTATCGGGGGTCTTTGGCAGTTTATTTGGTCTGCACCCCTAGCCTTCACCTTTTTCATACTACATGGGGCGAAGCGGGGATGGGGCGAAGTGGGGATGGGGCGAAGCGGGGATGGGGCGAAGCGGGGATGGGGCGAAGCGGGGATGGGGCGAAGCGGGGATGGGGCGAAGCGGGGATGGGGCGAAGCGGGGATGGGGCGAAGCGGGGATGGGGCGAAGCGGGAATGGGGCGAAGCGGGGATGGGGCGAAGTGGTTAGGGGCGAAGTGACATGGGGCGACGTTGAAATGGGGCGAAGCCTCTGACACCCACTCAACTCAGCGTTGTGCATACCTAAATTCTCCTTTATTTTTAAGAATCATCGACCTGATATATTGTTTAGATTAATTAAGACGAAGTTTTATCACATTTGAGGGTCATTTTCGATAACTTTAGTGGCGCAAATAAATCAGACCCAAAATACACAGTACAATATGTTTTATAGCGATCGCGGTGCGGCGATTCCCAACAATCCCACAATGCACTGCGATAAAACATTGCTTGACGTAATTAGTACAGAGGGTTGTACAGTGTGTTTACCTGATGGATTCTCAAACGTCAATATGATTGCTTCTGTCTTCGGGTTATATTCAAATGTTTTTAGGTCACCTCCTCCAGATTTACGAGGGGTCTCAAAATAGAGCCTGAGCATCTCATCTGACGTCGATGGCTTGAAGTCAGTCACCTCAACAACTGGCTCGTCATCTTCACATTCTGAATCTGAAGAGTCATCTTCTGAATCATGCTAAATTTGATATAATGAAATGAGTTTATCTCTCAGCTACATGTATAAAAGCAGAACAAGGTAAATCCATGGTATTTTTTAACGATAATCCAGACCCCATGATGAAACTCATCCGAAATGCAACGTCAAAATGACAGTTGCTCCCAAGTTAGCAATATAGCTACAATAACTCAAGGATTACCCTAAATTTCGCTGTTTTGTTTTGTTGTTTTTGTGTATTTTTGTTTGGCTAATTTTTTGTTACCTTTTCTGCTGGTAGTGTTTATTAAAACTCAATTTCAGTTGAAACCGAAAACTCTTTGCCAGAAAATTGATAGGAATTCTGAAAGAGATCTGCAGCTTCACAATGAAAGTCTTTCTGGTTTTGGCATGAAGTCGTCCGGAGCGTGTCTTGATGGGGTTACTGTTGGACATTCTAGTGAGTGTCTGTGTTGTTGAGGAACCTCTAGTTAGTGAACTGGATGACGGTGGTGCTTGTTGGAAAGGTCACGTTTTCCTTGACTGCTGACTCGTAGTCGGCATAAGTCGGGTGCGTCCGGAATACGCTCGGCATGCGCATTGCATACTGACCTATTTGCAGCCCGAAAACTAATGTTGTGCACTGCATACGCAACTCATACGCATCTCATACGCAATGGATATGCGCTGAATTCGTTACTTGTACGCTAGATGTGCGTCGCACATAAGTTAAAGTGATCAAAGCATTTCGACGTTAATTGAGCGTACGGCTGCGTATTGAAATTTTTTGATAAGGAACTCATAAGGAATTAGGATACGCAAAGGTGTGACAGGGGCTTTAGTCAGGTACAGGTGTGTGTGCACGCGTACGGCGGTTGCTACGTACAGTCATTTGGGTTGCGTATACTATCATGTCACTTCTCACTTCTTTCAATCAGCCACGTTGGAAACAAGCGCACAGCACCGTCATGTGACGGGTGGAGTATGTGATTTTAAATCAAAAGGTAAAAACAAATATCTCTTAAATGGAGATTTTTAGGGGAAAAAAGCTAGTAAATTCAACATGTAAGTGGCATTATATTTATGTAATTAGATATGAAATGGTGGGATCTTTGCCCACTACCCTAGCCCAGATTGGAAGAAGTCTTCATTGCAATACGAAAGGGAGTCCACCAGGGCTACCCACTACCCCTACAGAACGCAAGAGAAATCATTACGATTACTGTACACTCAATGTAGTCCATGAATAGCGTTAATACTACTTTGATCCAAGTTGTGCGTCACTTTAGTGAAGATCATTATTAAAGTTATAGCGTGCACTTAAAATTATTTAGAAAATCTATATTACAAAGATGCTCAAGGCGAAGTCCTTGATTCAAGTTACGAACCACGTTATGAACCAATGCATAAACAGTTATATACATATAAACAACAATTCATAAATACCTAAGAGAGTTTAAGCATTCCTATTGGTTGAGAGCCCGTCACGTGGCCGGTCTTAAACGGATGATAAAGACATGGCTAGCTGGTCTTAAACACTTTTCCAGTGTCACAATAAAATGTGGACTCCTAAAAATCCTAAAAATCCAGATTATCGTTTCATTGGTTGAACGTTCACAATCCTCACGAAGGCATGCGCAACACTACCAGGGAGTCAGAATTTTATAGTTCTAAATTCAATCGACATCGCGCAGAACATGATACGCGCGCGTCAATCTCCATAAAAGGGTTGTTTACATCTTACTCGCCAGCTGAACACTCCATTATTTTACAAGAAGGATATTTTGAAAAGCAAAAGTGAATTTGTTGAACAAAATCGGGATGTTTTGAACGAATTATATGATTTTTTTTTACCGAAAAGGTATTTATGAATGGGAATAAATATGTGCTCCGTCGGTATTTATCACTCTGTTTAAGACCACTTAGAGTCTGGGTGCTGATAATTACCCTAGCTTCCGGCTCGATAACAAAAAATAGCATTGACAAATACATGTACATAAATTGATAAATAGATAAACACACCACCTTGACTTGATAAGAGGATTCCTGGTGAGATGCCGTGTCTATGGGTGAGAACCCTCCAGACAGCTCATGTGGATGTACTTCCAGTAGAGTGCGAACTCCGTCAATCTCCAGCTCATGATGTTCTTGTTCTAATACCTGCTGAACACCTGTTGGTGACGGTTTCATTGAGAAGAGGTGTCCAAAGGAATGAGGAATGTTTAAAATATTGTTTCCACAAGAATGTGTTCGTCAGTAGAAAATTCTGCCATTATGCTCCCCTGATGACATGTCACATTATTATGCTCGACCTGCTTCATAATAGGAAACGACGGTGGAGGGAGTGCAGGTAATTAAAGCAAAACTGACTAATTTCTTTTTATTCATGTACAAAGTATTCTTAATTATATGAATTTCAAGGTCGATGAGGTTGGAGCAATCAGAAAAAAAAGACAATATAGGTTCTCTTCCTATGACTAAATATGCCTTTTAAGTTTGATAATCCTTCCAGCTATACACATGGCGGGATTGTGTAGTAACACGGGGCCCTCTACGTTGGTCAAGCGAGTTAAAAAGTGTTTTAATATTTCAAAATCACATAATTTACATCTACCGTCTTTTGATTCCATGACCCTGTTTTGTTACTACAAAGCACTACTCAGAAAGCGCCCGTTTTTTGGGGGCCGACTATTTTGACGTTGGTGTTTTTACCACTTAACCCCCCCCCCCCCAAAAAAAACTACTCGAAAATATGCAACATACATATGGCAAAAAAAAATAAGTCTCCGGTTTCTGGTATGGAGCTTGTCCAAAAAGTGGTGCGGCGACGCGGCTTTTTTTTTTTACCTGACTTTTTTGCTTCAAATGTCGGCTGATGACTGCAAATGGTGCCCGACTAAACTTAGTGCAAATATATGGGAGTCCAGAGAGGCCATATGAAGCTTATTCTCGATCATAACCCCATCTAAAAACACGTTAAAATTGTGCAGTAGCAGGATTCCAATCAAACCAGTGAGTTTGGCGGTTTTGAGACATCATCTTTTATTGAAAAAAAACTTGTTCATTTTGTCGACGCGCATGGCTAGGCTACGGCGACGCGCGCACATACCAGAAACCGGAGACTTTTTTTTGGGCCTATCACCAAGGTCAAAAATCGTGGGACTACCCCCCCCCCCCCCGGGTGCGCGACTGCATGGAAGGCGCAAACCTATGCCAGGCTGAACAAAAGAAATAATCGCAGATCCACTGGATCCCGGTAGGTATATGTCGGTCTAACTTTCCACTCCCCCTTGTATAAAATGGTCTAATCCTTTGACCTCAAGGGCGGATCCAGGGGGGGGGGGCCAAAGGGGGCCATGGCCCCCCAAAACGAAACCATTTTTTTTTTTATGTGACATCGCAATAAAGGCAGGCAATGAGTACACCACCATCTTTTCCTCAAAAAAACATTGGTTAAAGTGGTCAGAAATTGCCTCAGATCGCACCACAGAGCATCTAGAATCCAAAAAAATTTCGGGGCCCTTAAGCGGGCCCCGAACCCCACGCCGTAATTTTTTTGACCCACTTTTTGGGGGGACCAAATTTGTTTGGGTCCCCTCCCAAAAAATTGTGTTCTGGATCCGCCCTTGTTTGACCTGTGTGGTTAGATTAGGTGGATGATTAGGCATACTCGCACATACGAACTGGTGAAGAATCCTTACAAAAAAATCATGCATCCAGACCCAGTCCGGATCACGTCCAAATGATCTAATCGATTTTTACTTGTACCAAGGGCCACCCCTAAAAAAAACCATGGAAATCCGTCCATAACTTTGTGAGTTATCCTGTTCACAGACAAACCACCCAATCATCCAACAGACCAACGCAGATGAAAACACAACCTCCTAATTGGCGGAGGTAATAATGAACACTATCTTTGGGGCAGAAAAAGCTAATTTCATACAAATTTGACATGCGAATTCACGATGTGCATGTCACGGTGATCATCCTCTCTTTAAATTTGTGTTGCATTTTGGCGTCTTAATTGTCAATTAATTGAAGCCTACCCCTAAACAAATGGTTAAAACCCCTTAACCCTGCCCACTATCCACGACACCCCCATTGAAATTTGATTCTGCAATAGAAACACGTTCGAAAGGGGCCATAATTTCTCCATCATACCCCTATTAGAGTTCACTCACTTGAATGCTCATTGAAAGTGACTATCATCCACAATCCATGGACATCCTCGAAAAGGTTGACATCTTCCACTCCGCAACCTCGGGTCTTTTGAAAATATATCCTGACTTTATCTTTAAGTTGCGGTCTCTTAGAATCATAGCATCTAGGAGGAAGTCGAACGCGAATTGAAGTCTGCGATTGGCTGGGATTAGTCTCCATAGCTAACTGCAAGGATGAGGTGTTACATTTTGTGAAACTTTGATACTGGACGCCGTTATTAATACATGTAATAGGATATTATGTACATGTACAAAGGGAATCATACAGTTGTCTTCCTGTTATTGCACATACGGGAAATTCCGAACCTACGTTCAGCGCAGGCGCATTAGAGAGACAACCTTTATCGTCGTATTGAACTGTGACCTTTTCTTTCAAATTGATTTCCAGTATTGGACGTATTTGATTAATAACCGCGACTACATGTAGCTAGGCCTATACGTGTATATAGCCTTTACGGTGATTTGCATTTTTGCAGCGCAATTTAATACTGGAAATTAATTTAACGATTCAAAATGTCGACGCAATTAGTAATGGATGTACTGTATTATACTAGGATCCCTGACTAGGATCTACATAATGTACATTTTTTTTTTACATGTACGGAGGGAATCTATACAGTCGTCTACCTGTTATTGCACACAGGGGGAAATTCCAAAACCTAGTTTCTGCGCAGGCGCAGTAGAGAACCCTTTATCGTGGCTGCACTGTGACCTTTTTCTTTCAAGTTGAGCTCAGTATTTACTACGGAAGCGTTAAAGGGCATAATACAAACTAAAAGAAAATCAAAAATAAGTCAGAATTATGACTTATTGTTAAGTCATAGTCAATGCTAGAAATAGTCGTTAATCTTTACAACTCTCAAAAAGAATGGACACTTGAACAATGATGACCGATGTACACCACTAATGTTATTTGATTGCTTTATAATTTGATGACATTTTATTATCTGAGTAAACATTAATGACCGAGTTTACAAGAAACATATCTGATACAAGTAGACCTACATTATGACAAGATATCAACCTTTAAAACCAGGAGCATTACTGCACATTAAAAAGGGATCTTTGTATTCATTCTCATGACTGATATACAAGTTTCATGCTTCAACCAATAACTGAAGACAAAAGTATTACAGAAAAAGCAACAATCAACGAATTGCAGTCAACCAAGTTTACATCTACAAAAGCATGATATAAACATCTCGGTCATTATGTCGTCCTTACGCAACTTGAAAGGCTACGAAAACAAAACGAACATTAGAAAGTTGATTGGCTCATGTTAAAAGTCTGAATATTAATAGTTTGTGACACTGAGTAATATAATAAAATGTATTTAGCAGGATGGTGATCATTACTCAATATGTTTTCAAAGATTACTATTGCGTTATATAATTTGGTTACTTTTAGAACAATCAAATTTCTTTTTATGAGTCTACAATCATGATTTCTTTGTTCAGGCTATGGATACGGTTCGGAACACTTTACCACATTAAATATAACACTTTTGCCATTACACTATACACCACGCATACTTGTTTTTGCAAATCCCTAAACATAACGGCACAAAAGCTACAGGGTTATTTTGATTTTGCCTCTTCATATACTTTTTTAACAAGTCAGGTGTGTTTACAAACACAAATGCCCCGCAACCGTGACTGTTTCCATGACATAACACCACTCTAACATCAACTTACATGTACCTTGGTCAAATGGAACGTTCATTGACAGCATTAGTTTCAGCCACTGTGACCTTGACCCTTGACCTTTTGGCCCCAAATGCAAAAGGCTTCTTAGAATTGCCAAGGACAATCCACAAACCAAATTTGAAGTTCATATGTAAAGTATTTCTCAAGTTATCGCGCTGACAAAATTTCTATTGTTTCAGCCACTGTGACCTTGACCCTTGACCTTTCGGCCCCAAATGCAAAAGGCTTCTTAGGATTACCAAGGATAATCCACAAACCAAATTTGAAGTTCATATGTAAAGTATTTCTCAAGTTATCGCGCTGACAAAATTTCTATTGTTTCAGCCACTGTGACCTTGACCCTTGACCTTTCGGCCCCAAATGCAAAAGGCTTCTTAGGATTACCAAGGACAATCCACAAACCAAATTTGAAGTTCATATGTAAAGTATTTCTCAAGTTATCGCGCTGACAAGATTTGTCCGGACACACACACCCACACACCCATACTTGTTTCACATGACTAGTGTGGACTTTCCATTGCTTTCGTGTAGTTAAGAAAAACCAGTGAAAAAACTCATTTTTCTCAAACTGTGAAAACTCTTTCAACCCAATTTTTTTTCTATGATTCCCTTTAGTGTTTCTCTTCATTCTGCTACAGATAAACCTAACCCAAAAATGCCTCTAAACCTGTTTTCCAGAAATGGGGAAACACTGTGTGGACGTGGGGTAAGTCCACACAACGTCGGTGCTACCTACATTATGTGGACGTCTTTTGTTCGGAAGTCCACACTGCGTATGTAAGACAAGCTCACCCATACTCACACCCACCCACACACTAATACTTGTTTCACATGACTAGTGTGGACTTTCCATTGCTTTCGTGTAGTTAAGAAAAACCAGTGAAAAAACTCATTTTTCTCAAACTGTGAAAACTCTTTCAACCCAATTTTTTTTCTATGATTCCCTTTAGTGTTTCTCTTCATTCTGCTACAGATAAACCTAACCCAAAAATGCCTCTAAACCTGTTTTCCAGAAATGGGGAAACACTGTGTGGACGTGGGCAAGTCCACACAACGTCGGTGCTACCTACATTATGTGGACGTCTTTTGTTCGGAAGTCCACACTGCGTATGTAAGACAAGCTCACCCACACACCCACCCACCCACCCACCCACCCACCCACGGAAGGACAAGGCGGAAACAGTATGCCCCTTCGGCTTCGCCGCGGGGCATAATTAAAAGTGAGCAATCTGAAACCTAAGAGAGATACGATGAAGCACCGAAGCTATTTTTATGCATGGGGAAAAAAGGTGTAATGGCTTCTTTTATCTTGTTGCTTGAAACGTTCTGAATATTGGCAATTGACTATCGGATTAAAACCACATTTTATTCTCAAGCTATTGCATGACAGTAAAAAAAAACCTTTTCAAATATTTAAACATTTTTTCCTCTCTTAATGGCATTCTTTTTTCTTTTTCAAAAGCAGCTATATGTCAGTAAATGTTTGTGTTCATATTTTGACACCATTCATATTTCGTCATCTTAGACAGCACTGTCTATATTTGTAGTGCTCAATTTCTTGGTAAACTTTAAACATGAAGTAACATATGCAAGAACAATACGAGGATCACTTTTAGTTCTTAATTATATTTGTTTTGTTTTGTTTCAATTGTGTATTCATGATTCAAACAAATCAAAGTTGTTTTAGCACCATCCTAACAAAGGTACTACTCTTATTTCCACATGTGTTCTTAATATAGCACATGTGCATCATTTACACATTAAGTTCTATTAAACCTTTGTTTGAACCCAATATTATTGAAAGTTATATCAATCTATGTATACTGGAGATATGGGGAAAGGTAAATGTACACATTTCATTCTGAAAAAGATGTTACTGTGAGGCTGAAACTTGGATTAAAAAATACACAAAGGCTTATTTCTGCTTTGCAGAGTCTTACTTAGGCATACTGCACAAGTCTTTTAGCTAGACATACTATGACTGATCTTTAAGATATTACAGAGAAATCAACAATCAACAGATTGCAGCTGAAAGTCCACAAATACGTAATTTAAACATCTCGATAGTTATTTCGTCCTTTACACAAAACTTGTAAATTCCGAATACTAATGGTATGTGACACCGATGAGTAACGTGAACGAATGTATTTTGCAGGCGGTGATTAGTATTTCTTAATATAACTTGATAACCTTTAAAAAACCCATCAGATTTCCTGTTATGAATCACAGAGATATTGATCGGATCACTATACAACATTATAATACATGTATGTTTGCAACTGCATGCACCATTATGCACCATGCATGCTTTCTGGGAAATCCTCAAAAATAATATGACACAAAAGGTACATATGGTTATTTTGATTTTGCCTCTTAATGGAACTTTTTTTAACTTAAAATTGAGCGGTCTGAAATCAAAGAGAGCCAAGATGAAACACAAAGGTCCTTTAAATGCATTGAAAAAAGTTCAAAGGCTTATTTTAATTTGTTTCTTACAAGGTTCTGAAAATGCATGACTTGCCAATTGAATCACGCATCGGATTAAACCACTATTTACAAGCTCTTAATGACAAAAAGCAAAACAAACGTTTTTCTTCTTTCTTGACCGGTTTTTTTTTAAAGCAGCTGCATTTTAATAAATGTTACCGTGATCATTCATATTTCATCACTTTGGACATCACCGACTTCAGTTTTACCATTCAATTTCTTAGTGAAACTTTAAACATGAAGTATATGTATCTTTTTAACAGGGTCAATGTTATTTCTCAATCAATATTTTTCGTTTGTCTCAATTATGGCTTTACGACCGACTGACAATCAGATATGTTTTTAGCACCAGCATTAGTCAAAGGCACTACTTGTGGAATTTTAATGTTTTTGCACATTTCGTGTAAATCGTTGCTAACCTACTCATTTTAAAAGCTATATTCATCCATATGTATTGGTCAAGTAAACTTACATAGTTTTTTTTCTTCAAAAGATGTTACTTTGAAAGCTGAAAGTTCATTTGGATGGAATTTAGTCTTATCCATCGTATTCCAAGTCTTATCCACTGCAAAAGTCTTTGAGCTAGACTTTAATCAATTTCACAGATTTGGCCTTTATATAAAGTATAGCATACTGTAAAGAAATGGATATTTTAAAAGCACTATTTCACCTAATCATATCATCTTAATGGTATCGCTTAAACTGTGCTGCTGATGTGGTTTTCACCAAACTGCTACCATTCTCATTTTAGATGAGCATGCCTCAGTGTGCATTTTATTTATTTGTTTTTAAATGGGCTTCAAATTATTTAAAATCGATCGTTTTTTAATGGGGCTGCAAATCGTTCAATCATAATATCGCACACTGAATACATGTACCTATCATCTGAAGTGTTTGACTTGCTTACTGGAATTTGATGAGGTATTCTGCATAGGCTTGTGCATCATGAAAGATAACATAGATGCCTGGCTGGTTTACATTGTCCACCACGCAGTCGTACTGCTGGTCCGGATGACTTGGTTTGTTGGGAGGAGTTATTATTCCTTGATTTCCCCGGATGTAATCACCGACCAGAACCTTTGTCAGGTACATGTGCTGTACACCGTTTGCATTAGGCTTTGCATACTGTGACCGTGCCGAGTAGTTAGAATCCACAGCAAAATAGGTTCCATTGCCAAACACAGTTGCTGATTGAAAAAAAAAAGGTTAGCAAATCAATTTATTAGTACTAGTGCAGTGACAGTCATTAGAATTCAGTGCCACTTACTTTATCAACGCTGAATGGCAACTGTTCATTATCATATTGAGAACCAAGTTTGGTGGCGGAAGTAGACACAGAAATATTCTTGGCAAAAATGATCTAGTACAATCAATTGTTTGCTGTCACGCGCATTAAGACTGAAGTTACATAAAGAACAAAATCTGTTGGACAAACATGTGCAATAGTGGGTAAATGACCAACTTTGTCCAAAAGTACTTTTTACAATCCGAATAATTACCAAGTTCTCAAAAAAGTTCCAAATGCATTTAAACAGTTGCATTAAATATAATTCTTAAATCATGTGCAGCAGTAAAATATCAAAGAATAGCAATTTTAAAGGCAATCCTACCTTCACATTTTATGCAAAATTATTGTGGAACACAAGTAATTATCTGAAACCAGTTCTTCATTTCACATAAGTACCATTTAAACTCACACAAACATTGATAAGGGTAAACATCTTTCACACAAATGTATCGAATGGAAACTAAAGTACATGTAGCACTTTAAATGACTATTTAGAATGAAGGTTTGCATTTATAAGCTTTTGTGACAACTACTTCATCAGATGCAACAAAGAGGGGCATCATCATACAAGGTCTATATAGGGGTACAAAATTACATGTACAGTAAAAACAAAGGGTGGAGATCAATCAATTATCAACGGTGCAGTATGACAAAAGGCCAGGATCCCTAGTTGAATACAGTCTAGACTAGGAATAATCTTTTGTTCGGCGGTTTCCCAGTCCACCCTTGATTTGAATCCCATCGGGATTAGTGTGTGGCCTGGTAAATTGAAATGTTCAGCAACAGGTTTCTGTATATCCTTGTTTCTGATTTCACACTTGTGTCCATTCATGCATTGTCTTATTAGTGACTACCAAGTTTGTCCAATGTATACTGCTGTGGGGCATTGCTGACAGGCGATTGATGGCTGCCCACCACATTTAGATAAATATATGGGAGACAAGTGAAGCACCTTAAATTGCTCAGAACTTCACCTTCTGTTCAATTTGTTCATGCTAATGACCCGTCATCTTTTGTCTTTTGATACCCACAGCAACTTTTGTAATCTGAAACGTTCATACGAAGCATCAAGTAGGCAATTCATCAGGCATAAACCTATTCCTTGCTTAATCAGCTAAAATGAATGAATTAGTTTATTCAAAAACACATTTACTTACCATTCTTGCCACAGAAGCTGCGATTGAAACCAAACTTGTTGATCTTATCACACGTTTGCTCATCGGTACCATGGAACAATGTCTCTTCAATGTTAGTACGACCAAGACGAGCCTCCATCGCTCCCTTACGTGCTTGGTACTGCATCAGCAAGTCTCTGTTCTGAATTCTATGTATCTGTGATGGAGAATCAAAGTACAAACACACCTTCAGCAAAATTGCATTGTTTAATCCCTATCTGTATGGGAGCATGGTACATATCTCATGACAATATTCTTAACAAATGTCTGAAAAGAGCTGCGTATGGATAATCCTGAAGTGTGTATTCTTAACTCATTCAGTCGATGTTTGCTAGACTTAATTAGATGTCATTCTCTGAAACAATTGAGTATAATAAAGCCATTCTTGTTTACAAATGTATAAACAAAATTACCCCTTTGTATATATGACAAATATGTTTACACCACTTATTCAGATTTGTGAAACGAAACAATCCACTGATATGGCACTGAGGATTCCTTTTGCCAAAAAATAATGTTATGCCTCAAGTTTTGCTGTAACTGGTACAATCATATGGAATAATTTTGCATGTACAGTTGAGAACCAAGACTTCTCTAACCTCATTCAAATCTGAACTTAGTAAAACGTTCAGTCAGTAATATTTCTGCAAATAATTACATGAGCATTTCTCTCGCTGTCTTCACTGATTATACAAATCTAAATCTGTGCTGACTTATGGAGTTAACAAACTTGGTTGCCATAAAAATATGGAGCCGGAGGGGAAATTTTCAGTTTTTCTCTCTCCCATAATCAACGAATGTATACAGGCCTATAGAAATATACTTTCTCGATGTCACAAGAAATGTCCGAATTCGTCATGTTCACTTATTTCACCTTAGGCCTTTAGGCAAGTGTGTTAGCGATGTCGTTTCAAACTGTAATGATTCTTTGTAATAGTTGTACAATATTTATAAAAGTTACTTTACAATCAAGCAGTAATCCCATATGCTTTTATTTTATTTCATTGTGCTGTATTGTATTTGTAATGTATTGTATTTGTACATTATGTGTAGTCATTTATAGTGTATGCAGGGCCCCAATGGAAACCAGTTTTAAACTGTTTGGGCATACCCTGGGTAAAGAAATGTAATGTACATGTATAAATAAATGAATAAAATCCCCAGTATACTAAACATGTTTAAATATTTTAAAAAAATATAATAATAATCAAATTTCGTTCCACAAATGTTCCTTTAAGAACCAAGTATGCCTAAAACCCTATATCAAGAAACACTACCTCTCGAATTGTATGACCTCCTCCGGTTGATTGGAATTGTGTCTCTACAGTTGTGTATTCGGGTGTGCCTGCAGTAAGTTGTACCATTGCAAAGTGTTTATCCTTCGTCATAGGTATCCAGTTGCTTGGCATTTCGAATGAAGCAGCTGAAAATTGTACAAATGCAGAAAACAAAGCAATGGCCATTGGTCAATCAACCATCATACAATTGTGTAAATCACTCATTGGACACATGATAATGAAGGCTAAGTTAGATGAATCAAAGTACATTTTAAAGGTAGAGTATACATATCATTTGCAGCTATCAAAAAAGTAAATGATGACATTATTGTTGAAAAGCTTAATTGGTTGAAAGGTAGTAATAAACTAAACTCCCTGTGAAATGATTCTGTTGGCTTGCTGTCATTTAACAATTAAAGAAGCTAGCCATTTCCAAAGATGTGTCAAGTTGCGGATTTTTGGAATTTTCCATCAGTTGGTTTGTAATTCGACGAAGCTGTGAATGGCTGCGCGCAAGCATTGACATGATGCACACGCGGTTATTATTCGTCTGTTTAGTGCATGACATAATGAGCACAAGTGTCCTCAGACAAACCTTTTTTCATGTCAATCCGTTGGACAACAAGGTTTCCAGAAGGTGAAATCTCCTCCATGGCTTGGAAGTTGATTGTCACATTTCCATCTTCAAGATTCAGGATAACTGAGGGGCGATTGTTCTTGTGGGCCTCCTCTATGATAGCATTCACCTCTGGATCATATGCTTCCATTCCATGTTGAGTGCTGTACTTCCATTGCACCTTTCAGGTTAGCCATTAAAAATTAAAATACAGAAAAAAATACAGCAGTTACTTAATGGACTTGAAATTGAACAAAACAGCATGCTTGTGCAAACAATGAGAACATAATTCCTTGTATTTGCAAATGGTATTGTCATACCACGGTTATAGATTGTGATTTTTAATTGGTCGAAAACCAAGCAGGTGATGTGCCACAAACAGGCATGTACTGTGTCAGGGGCGTATACTCGTGGTACATGAGTGATGTACCCCACGGGGTACATTGTGCATTACATTGATCATCCCCACCGTTGAAAGTGTTGTTTCTATCGCATTGTATAATAGAAATAGTCCGGGTAAGAGGTTTCAGACAGCGTGCACACGTGTGTACTGATGTGGAATAAACGCGCACACATTGTGTTGAATAAACGTGTGCGCATTGTGTCGAATGGATGCACATGGACCAAGGTCGCAGCTGTGATTGGTGCGTAACGGAACAGGTTTTAATGGATTGGTCTATTGTGGGAAAAGGTAAATTAATTTGTGTTTCCGTGCATGTATGAAAAAAAAATCTGTGCGAATATTCACGATGCAGTAATCACGGATCTTTTCAAAATAATACTTCCGCGATGGCTGCATGGCAACTGGAGGAAACCCACAATTTCAGACGGTTGCAATCTATTACCGTGATATAACACAACAATTTTTGCCGCCGTGATTGGGGTTGATTGTATAATGATTGTATAATGAACAATGTAGATTCTCGTAAAACACTTCTTATTCGTAACTGTCAACACGGGCAGATCAAAGGGGTATGGAAGGGGCGAGAGCCCCTCCTCCCACCCCCTTTAACACTACCCCCAAGAACCCCCACCCACCCCGAGTAAATAGAAAATATCACTTTGATTGGCAATGGATTTATTAGCAACCAGCGAAGTTGAATCTCTCATCTCAAATGGTAAAAATGAACATCACTTCAAAGACATCTGATGTAAATAGATATTTCACCCAAGCCTAGCTTATTTTTTTCATAGATATTAAGTGATAAAGGAAACATTGCTTTAAACAATGCTGTCATCACATCTTGTTTTGACTTACTTCCTTAAACAGGTGTTCCCTTTGTTGCAGCTCAAGTTCCTCTTTCTGGATTCTCGTAAAGAGCGCTTGAATCTGAATGCAAGCATCTTTGACGCTGAGGGTAGGACCCCGAACATTGAAAGACTTTGCTTGTCCCTTGCCACAGCACTTTATCTTCACCTGTTTTTTTTTTTAAAGGTAATCATCATATCAAATGTAAAGGGAAATTGACTTAACACTTCACTCAACAGCAGCGAGGTCTAATTTTACTTGTGAGTACTTACCTGTAGAGCATCACTAGATTATATGCAATATTCCCCTAGAGGGTGCCAGACATTCGCTAAGATTTTTTTTTTTCCCAACACCACCTTGCAGCTCGCCCGCCCTGACACTTCCTCTTTTCTCAAGCCTACAAGCACACAGAGAGAGAGGGCGCTTCAGAGAGAGAGGTCATGCACTTACCATCGGCGGCAAACTTGAGGGATAACCACTGCTTTTTACCCGAGATAGACACAAAAACGAACTCAAATATCAACATCCATCACAGGGAATGCTTACACCATCCTTTTATCTTCAAAATGCTGAAGTCTGCTTAATCAGTGGCTGGTTTTCCAGCACCAAAATACCACCCTGACGGTCGGCCTGTGACCGCCATATTGGTCAGCCATCTTGGATGATTGGTTTATGCGCATATGCATGGAGCTGATGCATGTATGTCATGCACAAACACATGATGGCCCTGCATCTGTTTTTATCAGTTGTCTCCTTGCTACTTCTATATCAACAAGTCATCCCAGAGCACAATCCAGCTATCTCCAACCCTGCAAGCAACATGACATTATTGATGGCAGGGACCTCATGTAAAATATTCCAGCATATACCCTTGTGGATTATGTGAGTACCCTGTCACATGGAACTGCAAAGGTGTTGCCTGTGACGATTGTAGTATCTGGTATCACCAGTCCTGCATTGATTTGTGCTCAGCTGACTTTGAATTATTAAATCATTCCAACATTCAATGGAAATGCCACAAATGTGATAGCACAAACTGTGATAGCTTCACATACCATAGTTATGAACTACGCTACTCCAGCGATGACTTAAACATCGACTCAAACATCGAACTTGGCAATATACCATCATCAGAAAATTCCTTTAGACCACTGCAGACAAGTAGTCCAATAGCAAGTACCCAGACTGATGATGAAAGAACTAGGGAAAGTTACACATTGTCACAAGTATGTAGCCCAACCATGGCAACACAAATGCCAAGGGCCCACAGCTCAGTCTCACATCGGCCAGGCACACAAAATCTAAGAATAATGACAGTAAACTGCCGGAGTGTGCTGGCCAAAAGGTCAGAACTTGCCATCGCCATTGAATATATCAAACCGGACATTGTATGTGGAACCGAATCTTGGCTGACAGGAATAAAACCAGGCCAAAACCCTTCTGAGGGTTATGTGAAATCAAGTGAAATCTTCCCAGAAAATTACATTGCCTACAGAAACGATCGCTGTAGCCTAGGTGGAGGAGTCTTCGTACTTGCTCATCGAAACTTGGTCACAGTTGAGCTCCCGCAACTTGTGACAAATTGTGAACTCGAATGGGTCAAAGTAAAACTGGAAAATAATAAAGAACTGATCATTGGATCCTTTTACATGCCCCACCGAAATATTACCACATTGAATGAACTGGATAAGTCATTCAAACTTTTGACAAACTGTGGTTTCCAAGATAAGCATATTATCCTTGCAGGTGACTTCAATTGCCCCGACATAGATTGGGAGCATTGTATTGTTGACCCAAGGAGCAAAGACAATACAACACAACAAATGTTGCTTGACATAACTTCTCACCTCACTCAAGTCCACATGTCACCCACGCGTGAGGACAACTTACTGGACCTGGTACTTACATCAAACCCAAGCCTTGTAAAGTCCTCGGTTTCTGCACCAGGGATATCCGACCACGACATTGTGATCACCGACATAGCAACGAAACCGACTATTACTAAACAAGCACCAAAGAAATACTACCAATTCTCACAAGCCAATTGGGAGAGCTTAGCTGGAAACTTGGATGCACTCTCACAGATCATCATAAGTATGCAACAAAGCGGCTCCAACGTACACCAGATGTGGGAAAAATTCAGATCAACGGTACTAAGCGAAATTGACAAACACATCCCCCACAAGATCAGGAAAGGTAACAACTGGTTACCCTGGCTAGACAAATCCATCGTGAAAATGATCAAACGGAAAAGAAGACTGTACAAGCGTGCAAAGAAAAACAACAAATGGGAAGCATACCGTAGCCTCCAAAAACAATGTAGGAGGAAAATCCGAAGAGCCCACTGGAACTACATCAATAAAGTCATTCAGGAAAGCCTCGCAAACAACAACAGTAAGCCATTCTGGAGATACATCAAAAACAGACGCCAAGATAATGTCGGTGTTGCCCCACTAAAGCACAAGGGGGCCTTGTACAGTAATAACTCATCTAAGGCAAAAATACTCATCGAACAGTTCAAGTCAGTGTTTACACAGGACAAAAATCGTGATCTCCCAGAAGTAAACACAAAAGTAGATCAACCAATTCCACGTATCGTCGTCCACTCAGTCGGTGTAGCCAAACTGCTGAAGAAGATAAACATTGCAAAAGCACCTGGACCAGACAACCTACCAAACGCCGTGCTGAAAAATTGTGCTGACAACATCGCACCTGGTCTTGCAGCAATATACCAAACTTCTCTTGACTCCCGCATCCTACCTGGAGATTGGCTTAAGGCCAATGTATCCTGTGTTTTCAAGAAAGGAGACAAACACCTAGCCGAGAATTACCGTCCAATCTCCCTAACCTCAGTACTCTGTAAGCAACTGGAACATATCATTTACAAACACATCATTTCACACCTTGAATATCACCAAATCCTCACACAGTTAAACCATGGTTTCCGTCGTGGCTATTCCTGTGAAACACAACTTACAGTTACACTACATGACCTACAAAAATCTTTTGACGAGAAAAAGCAAGTTGATATTGCCATACTCAACTTCAGTAAAGCATTTGACACCATCCCACACAACAAACTCCTCCACAAGCTCCACAACTACGGCATCAGGGGCCCTCTACATCAGTGGTTAACCTGCTTTCTCACCCAACGCACAATGAGAGTGGTATTGGAAGGAGTAGCTTCTCGGGAAGTGCCGGTCGACTCTGGGGTCCCCCAAGGGACAGTGTTGGGTCCCTTGCTGTTCCTTTGCCACATCAATGACCTTCCAGCCAGTGTGACATCCAAAGTCCGTCTCTTCGCAGATGACTGTCTGCTGTACCGACAAATAGATGACCCCAGTGATCATGTCATCCTCCACCAAGACATCGAAAACCTGGAAACTTGGGCGGGAAAATGGGGAATGCGCTTCAATGCCAAAAAATGTAACATTCTCAGCATTAGGAATAAATCAACACGTTTCTACACATTAGACAACACTGTTCTTCATCAAGTACCTAGCAACCGGTATCTTGGTATACACATCTCTGAGGATCTCAAATGGAATACACACATATCCAGTATATCCAAGAAGGCTGGCTCCACTTTAGGTTTTCTTCGCAGAAACCTTAGGGGTTGCCCAGTCAACTGCAGAAGAACTGCCTACCTAGCTCTGGTACGACCAATCTTGGAATACGGAGCTACAGTATGGGACCCTTACATAAAAGCCAATATTGACCGACTGGAACGCATCCAACATCGAGCGGTACGCTTCATCACCGGAGACTACAGATCACAGAAGCCCGGTTGCCTCACAAAAATGCTACAAAATCAACAACTACCATCTCTGCAAGACAGAAGGAAACAATTACGACTCACATTCATGTACAAAGTGGTTAAGGGGCTAGTGCCAGCCATACCATCTCAGCTCTACCTAACATCTAAAAAACCTGGGAGACAAATTCGACCAAGAACACTTTTCAACTCTGCAACAACACACTCCATTGAAAGCTCCATAGCTGTCAACTCAAGGTGCTACAGAGTTCCTCGGAGCAACACAGATCAATTCAAGTACTCCTTCTTCAACAGAACTATAATTGACTGGAACCATCTAGAGGAATGCGTAGTCCAAGTCGACTCTGTTGATACCTTCAAATCCCTTTTCAGCCGCGGACCTCTCTCTCAATAAGTTACTGTACAGTGAACACCCTCTCTCTCTCCCGTTGCTCTTATGCCAGAATTGGTTTCTTGCAACGTATACACCTACAGATACAGATACAGATACAAGTCAATGCATATGCAGGAGTAGGCACACAGGAGGGCACTCTACAAGTATGCACTCGCAAGTAGAATCAGCCCTCACTTCTGTTGGTGGGGGGGGGGGGGGGAAATTCCAATAAACTTCTCTTACCCGTAGAGCAAAACTTCTCACACAGAATATTACCATTACAAGCAAGTGGGTTCCAGGGTACTATAAGTAAGCATACCACGTATGTTTCAGCCGCGCACTCAAAATATGAAATACTGATAATCAGCAAACAGGATGTCTGCAGTCTCAGTTTGACCCACTGAAGTATCGGTCATTATATAACCGACATACAGATCCTTGTCATTTGATTGGTGGAACTCACGTCACGTGACATTTGTTATTGTTCCCATTCACGCCGCGGCTCAAAAAGTACTATCCGCCCATGGGGAATGGGAAATACTATTCAACAGTTAGAATCATGACGCGGTATTTGTGTGCAAATGCATGCTGGTGTGCGCGTTCAGCGTTGCGCGTATTTTTCCAAAGAGCCAGCGCTACAGCGTTGGGTTCAAATATTTTTGTGAAAGGGTGGTTTGAAAGAGAGAAATATATTTTCCTCCAGTTTGGTATTGAAAAAAAAGTTCAAATATATCAAATGACAATGATCTACATGTCAGTTATATAAAAAAATATTGAGTGGCTTTAAATTGTGAAATGGGAGGAATATTATTGCTCGGTAAAATCTGGACTTTTCCAGTTCACTCGGCTTCACCTCGTGAAATGGAAAAGTCCAGATTTTACCTCGCGATAATATTCCTCCCATTCCACACTGAGCCACTCAATATTTGTATAACATCACGCTCAAAGTTCTTTCATAAATTTTTCTTTCCACGTGGACAGGAATTTAAGGCAATCAAAGTCACTTTTGCAAACCTTAGC